CACATCACATTCCTTTGAAGTGCTGAGCAAATCAGCCCACCCATTCCCAGTTGGAACATTTAAAATCTTCAAATGAGTACTGTCTATATACGTGGTATTTGCAATTGAACGTACAATTGTCATCATCGATCCAATTGGGATTGTTGTCAACGATTTATATTTATCTTTTCAAAGTGTCAACAAAACCTCTCATTTTCTGCAAATAATCGCATGAACTGAAATTCATCTGCTGGAAAGTTGACTACAGTGCATTAGTTGGTAAAAAAAAAAACTTCGCTATACTAGCGACACCTATTGATTTGTTGATGACCCTGTAATCTGCAAGGGAGGATATGACCCCGTCACCCGGATAAGTGTTGCGGTCACACTCGAAACAGTAGAAAGATGGAAGACAGAAGAGAGTGAACTCACAGGGAAGGTCCTCTAATCTACAGTAGAGTAGAACGTCTACAGTACTGTCCTACTCTTGTCAGAAGTAAGTACGGTACTGTACTCTATTGCTCTGACTTCGCACAGATGGTGCGACTGATCTCGAACGCCTTTGCTGGTCGATGTTATCAAGGACAAATTGAAAAACAAAGGGTCGTGAGATAGCGTGACATGTGACATTTATTGTGACAGGACTGACAGCTTTTTGTGAAAAATGAATGAGTGCCACTTGAATGTATTGAACAATACTTTCTACTCATTCGAACTTGATGGTTTCGTTCTATTGTAATCCTTCTGGTGCTGAATATTGGGTGCAACTGGCGAGAAACCGTGCTCAACGTGTGTTCCATGTTTATTTTCGATCGTTCGAGGGCCGGGACACTGTTTAATTTGCGCGGATACGTTCTTTCATGGACTGAAAGTGTACGGCAGGGGGCATTGCGGAACTGGCCCCGCGCTGTATCATAGCTTATCATTCGATGTGCGGGAATTCTTAAAAACGTTTGAATCTTCGTTGTTTTCGTGGACAGGTTGCAGTGATGCCTCGCGCATTTCATCACCATTACCCGGATAATGACTCCGCATTGTCAGATGAGCCGGAAGACGGCCGGAACTACGGTCATGTGCATCAGTATCCGAGGCGGATCAGTCCCGACTACCTTGAAGAAGATGAGGTACCCATACCTGTGAGGCCACCAAGAACCAGGGCCATCTCTGATAACCGGAGATACAATGTTAGTAAAATTGAGCACAGGGTACGAATACACCTCACGCACATCAGGTTTTTGAAAGGCCGTGTAGGATTCGAAAGAGAGGACATTGCGAAAAGTAAAATGTTTCCTTTTAGTAAAGAAAGGCAGTTTTATTTTTTTCCGCATTTATCTGAATCAGGCTTTCACCCGGAAGTGAATCAATGTGCATTGGTCTGACAGGCGTCGTACGGTGCTAGCTTCTTTGATTTTTAAAATTTGTAGAAATTGTTTTTTCATTCCATATTCAATTCATTGTAAATTTGATTCAGAATCTAAAATATATACAGTACTGTAGTCCGAATTTCCTAGCCGATGTGGCCTATGCGCGAATTTCTTGATTTTAAACGGCACCATTATATTTGAGCTGCATTTTTCTGAAGGAAGTTCTGTACGTATTCCAGTACTCGAGTGAATGCTTGATTTTTTTGTCAAGAAATTCTTGTTCGAAGCATGTTTTTCAGCGATCAGGAGACTTCGGAGGCTTCTAGTAATTTGGTAAATGTTGCTTCTGATTTTTGAAAATCCGATCCCCATTTGGTTTCAGGTGAATAGAGCTCCTTCTCCGGACTACACGTCCAATGATGACCGAGCCCCTTCAGATAGGGACCTATCTGAGTATTCCATGGAGATTGAAACTAAAGTTCCGCAGAATCACTATGCAGAACCCAGGGCACCACTCCCTGAGTCTCACTACAAATCAAACCTTCAGATGGCCGGCATTTACAAGTCTCCCTCCGAGCTCAGGTATGTTCGAAGTCTTAGATTAAACAGAGGGGGGAAATCGGAATTGCTATGAAAGAACCTCGTCAAATCTTCTTGCGATTCATTCCTCCTCAGGTCACGAAGTGTGGTTGCCGTTTCGGTATAAATGCAGCAGGAAGAACATTGGTTAGATCCTCTTCTGATGTTGAAAAGAGACATTATGGATCATGTCTATGCCCATGAATAGGTTGAATATTTTGCTTAATGAATGTTAGATGTGCTTTTGTTCCGAAAGCTTTGGGTATGCTGCATGACTTAAGCGTATGAGCATTGTTTTTTTTTTTTTTTTTCGTGCAAGGCTTCGTTTTATCTCGAAAATGATCGATGCTTGTGTTCGTAGGATCGTAGCATCTCGTGAGTGTTGAGAAATAATCGTGCATTGACGAAAAATTGCTGAAATTTGTTCCTTCAGTACGGTACAATTGCGTGACGCTATCGTGATTATTTTCTTCGTTCGTCAATGGAACTTGCCAAAACGATTCGGGTAGCATTTGAATGAGTTTTCAGTATACTTCTGCTTGCTTGGAGTTGTAGTTAATGGATTGCTCGTATCAGTCTTTTTAATTTTGCATTTTCTTAGCTATCACACCTACAAGAGTGCTGGAGGCCCGCCGAGAAGCATGCGGAGTGGTGTGGCACCATCTGAGTCGGCGACTGTCAAGACCAAGACCAGCCGGTACGGAAGGATTCAAGTGGACACTGTGGCCGCACCACACCCATACTGTCCAAACACAAAGGGCACCTGTTGTTTGATGGTGCTCTTCAACCTGGCCTTGATCATCATTGTTCTGGGATTCATCGTGGTCTTGCAGATCCGCGACCCCCCGCCACTCTGGTAAGCCCTTTCACAAGTCTGCCTTCATTGCGTGACCGTTGACCGGAAATTATTTATTTAAATTCTTGAGGAAAAACTTGATTCACCTGATGAACACTTCTCGGGAATGGATTAGGTTCGTTAGCCGAGACCTCATTGTATTATTCTATGAAGATGACTAATCTTTTGGACGAGGGCAGCGCAATGCTGACGAATCTATTAAGAAAGAGTTCCTTATTCTCGCTGAGAATTTGCCTTTCAGCGTCATTTTCATTCTACTGTACAGTACTTCACCTTACTGGCATTCCGCGTCCCGGAAATTCCATGTGAAATACATATGAAGAAGTGTTTTTCCGTTTGCATATTGCTCTTAGGTACTTCGGCTTTTGTATGCTGATCTTTGGCTTCTGTACACTCGTGGGGACGTTGGTCTACTGCGTGTACGTGTGCCGGGACAGACCGGATCCGAACACCTTGCCTTATGGAGAACTGTACTGGACTCATCACTGGAGACGCTCTCTCAACTTCGGCCAGAAGCCGAAGCAAAACGAGATTTTCTACCCTCCGGATGATGCCCACAGTTTTCGGTAAGGTCTTAACAATGATCGTGCTTCAATGAATACTTGGTCTTTTCATTTCTTGCTGGGATCTCTCAGTATTTCGTCGGAGGTTACGATAGTTAGCGAGAAATCAAAGTTCCAACATGAACATATTGTAATTGAGTTGGGAACTCAACAGGTCTTCCCCGAGGCATGAAGATGCATACAGCAACTATTCCTATGGTGGACACTCAACACCTGGAAGAACCCATCGGGAAACTGTCCCAAAACCCACAGACTACTACGGCAACTACGAATCAAGAACTCATCAAGAACGTTACTAAGGATCTTTTGTCGCTAAAAAAGGAAATAATTTCGTGCAGCTAATCGGAGGAAATACTCAAGCAGTCAAGACGGAAAGTGCTTTTCTGACGGTACTAATGATCGATTTTTGTAACCCGTTTACTGACGCATATTCATAAAAAGGGTTCACTGATGTCTCGATTTCTTTTGCTATCGGTAGGTTCCCTGTGCAAATTATTGACCGGATAATGTGGGCCTCTTAAAGCTATTGACCAGTAAGAGGAGCCTTTTTCAACCCAATTGTGGGAAAAGTGACGTTAACAATGAACTTATGAGCCATTTGCAGAAGTGCTGCGAATATAGTTCAATCTTTCATAAGATGAACCTCCCTGACTCATTTTTTTTTTGCTCTGACCTCTTTTAGTTGAATTACCCATTTTTTTGTCACCTTGTGTATGAGGACTATATTACAGTATGACACATAATCCAGATTTTTTTTATACTTCAATTCTTTCCTCCGGAGATTCGGAAATTTTTTGCGTTAAATGGTAGCAGGATAAACTTTTTAAATAATATTTTTGAAAGTAACTTTAATAGTGTAACTTAATCAAGTCATGTTTTCGAACTCAAAGAACTCTAAACCTTGATATATTTTATTTGTTTTTGGAGTTCCTTAAAATTTCAGGTGGAGTGGTCCAGCTTAGAACTGGTGGACTTACTGCCTGCGTGATTGCCAAGCATCAGCAAAACATAATAATTTTCCTGGTATGCATGCAACAATTGTTTTTGCAAATGAAGTACTTTGAAAGAATAGCATATTTACAAATTATTTCAGTGAATTGTTCTCTGAAGTACACTATAAGAGCTCTTATGCATACTGTATATCAGTTATTTTGACAAGGGAGTGGTGGACCTGTCCCTCTCCAGACCAGTACTCCACGCCGGCGGAACTCTTGGCAACTGAACCCCCCATCTTATCAACAATTTATGCCGAAACATTTTTTTGTCCTTAGGATTCGTATGCTTCTTTAAGGTAATATTTATACTGTATCCACCAGTATACAAATATACTGTGTACAGTACTGTAATTGACAGTGTAATGGCAATGTCAGTTTTGTTTCAAAGAATTAAGGTTACGTTCTATGAGATTTTACTCACGCTCTAAAACATGGAGTCCTCCATGGAGGGAGGTGCGATTACTGCGCGCATCGCGACCCTTGGATGCGTGAGCCTGACACACCGGTGCCTTGACGTGAACGCGGTTCGAATGTGTTCGAGTGATTAATGTTTGTTTTCCGCATGCTGTACTGTGCTGTATTCACTTCGCTGTTACGGCTGAAAATTGTAGACATTTTCCTTCTGATGTGAAGGTGACTTTTCCGTCTTGTCGGGGGATCGGCACACTTCACTATTTAAACGCATGAAAATTTACTGCAATAGTCTTGGAAGTGCAGGATATAACTACCGGTTGATTCATCGTGATATATTGTGTCTCCTGAAGCATCTGATCAGGTGACGTGATGATTTCTTTCATGCCCTTGGTATCTGTCGTGCGATTTTGAGCTTTGATTTTTGTTGATAATCGCATTGATTCCTCAATTTTTATCCAGATTCTACGAGTTTTGTGATGGAAGATGATGTGTCCCTAGTACAGACCGGGAACGTTTCTCCGGTTCTGTTGAGTGCATTGCAAGTTGGTCGTTTCAAGCGACTTAGTTATGATAAGTCGGGTGCATTGTCAGAGGTACGTGTTTCCTTACGACTTTTGCTCTTAGACATCCTGAGCATTATCCCTCTTACAGAGACAGTCAACTATCTCCTGCGTTATCCGAACCCAGACGATGCGCATATCTCTGAAAAAGGAGTGTCACATTTCCCCGGGTCGCACGCTGTACCGCGCGGATGAACCTGAGTGTGACTCGGAAATTTCAGCCATGTCTACGGCGGACTCCGTGGCTGTGTCAGACACGGAAAATGCTCTTACTGCTGAGCTAGAAGAAACTGATATAATGAATCATATTCCGAATGTTGAACTGGAGGATGCTTACGAGGATGAGTGCAGTGACTTCGGGGCGATTCTTCAGGTTGAAGATGGTTTGAATTACGTACCACACGAGCTGGCTTTGTGGGAAGAACGGCGCCATGAAGTAACGAATGTGAGTTTCCTAAAATATTTCCAACGTTTCGGGTAAGAAGAAATTTTAATTTATTGGCAGAAAACTATGACAGCCCGCCAAGACCAAGTTTGGAACACGTTTGCATTTTTCCGGAGAATAGCTGAAGAAAAGAAACTAGCAGCCATTGAAGCTGCTGCAGAAGAGCGGAGACGAAGAAATTTAGAAGCAGACAAAGATAGAATGTTATGGACTGCCGAACTCCAGAAATTGTCTGCTTCTATCAAGAGAAGTCATGATTCAAAGGCTGAAGAGTTGCAGACGAAAACCGAGACGATTGAAGAAGCTGCCACACAAGAGCGCAGTTTACTGCAAGCGCGATTTCAAATCATTATTGGTGAGAATATCTTTTAAATCCTTCTTCGGAAAAAGTATTCTGACGAGAAAATCGTGTGGATGCTGAGTGATTTTTCATTGTGGGTGACTTTTTACTCAAAGCTTTTCTGCTTTGTGATTTTTTTGTCCAAATTCCTTTATTTTAATCCTCTTCTGAATAAATATTCCTTTTGCAGATTTGGAGAAGTCGATTAGTGATAAGATTGCCAAAGTTCATGAAGGCCTGTCTGAATTCGGAAGAATCTCCCCACGACCACAAGTGACAGACTCATTGCGAGCACACTGCGCTCCAAGTCTTAATCAAGCAAAAAATCTGCTTGATGCCTCAGCGTCAAGGAAATCCGAGGGAATCTGGACCGAAAAAGATGTTGCTCATTTCCAGCAGCAAGATTTGGTTATGGCTAAATGCCTAAGCTTCGTGAAAGAGGCTCAAGGTACTGATTTCAATTTATTGTATTCCGATTTGTCCCATTAATACTTTCGTTTGTTTCAGAAAAACTGAAGGCACGTTTGGCTGAACAAGAGCGTGCTTTCGAAGCCGAAAAAAGCGCTGTAGCTGTTGTCCCCAGTGTTATAGCAAAATCGGCTGCTCCTCCTCGTTCCTCTTTCTCTGTAATCAAGGAGTATGAAAGACTGTTATCCCGCATTGAAGATGTCTCCAAGGTTGCAGAAGCGATATCCTCTGAAGGTGCTTTGAAGAAATATCGCTTTCTTTTGCAAGTAAGTGAATTTCTTACGTTGTCTTCAGTTCGACAAGTGCCCGGTCAGTTCAGCTTGTTTCCAAAACGGATAAAAGTGTGGAACATCTCTTTAAAAAAAAAATAAAGTAAAACTTATCGAATACGATGCAACATTTCTGCGGAATTGTTTCTCAGCGTCAAGCATTTGCTGGTTTCTTATCATTGATTTTCATAAGCTTTTATGAACGAGTTTATTTTCTAATTTTTGAATTGATACTGTAATTACTATTAGGATGTTGTGATCTCCTGCTGTTTTGTGGCACTCTGAATTTTATCGAGATCCATGATCGATTACATCATGAGCTATAGCAAGTTTTGTGTTTTCCGTATTTTTATAATTTCGTTGCTCTTTTATTTGAAATTAGAAAGCTGTCAACCTTCCCATCAATGCTATGTCAAATGACGTAACGTCGAATTTCCGTCAAATGACGGATAGGCTGATCAGTTTGCTTCGTGGACAAGTTGTTGAAGCTGGAGGTAATGAAACTGTCACAACCAGTTTGCATCCTGCTGCGCTACCTTTTTGCATGCTGCGAATGGCTAAAATGTTTGTGGTGAGTTCAAACACTTTTCAACTGTTGTATTAGTGTTTAATTTTTCCTCCTTTGAAGTAACTTGCGTGTAATACCGTATTTTCGTCGTTCTTGATGTATGGGTCAGCAGAAATTCGTTGCTCAAGTATTGGCTGATTGATGTTGCTTTTCAAATTAAATTTACTTTGATTCGTGAAATTAATTTAGGGTCCTGTGTAGGATTTTTGTGCGAGAATCTGCAAAATCAGTGCCAACGTTTCTCTCAATTATTAAATTTATTTAAGGCATGCGACAAGTTATTAATTTTCTGCGCATGCTTTTTAATCATATTTTCAGAGGCAAGCTGAAGAGCAGGTTGCGAGCAAACAAGAATCTGCATTTCCTCTTGCGGCAACAATCGTGAGCATTTGGCAGAGTTGTCCGGAATGGGGAGATGTTTTTCTTGGAACATTGTTCAAAACATGTCCGTACATAGTTCCGTATTATCCGAAATTATCCGGAGATGCCGAGCAAAAGTGAGTGAATTTTGTTGTGTTTTATGCAGCTTGGGAAATTTAATTTCTTTTAACCTGAAGGTAAATTTTTTTTCAGTAAGCGGTAAAAAGGTTATATTCCTCAATAGTTCTTGATTTGTCTCAAGTGTGAATAATTTATCCGATTTCAGAATCTTTGGGAAAAAAGTTATCAACGGTGTTTTGGAAGACGATCTGCTGTTCTACAAACGAATGGGTGGATTGGCAACGATTTTTGGCGCAATTGTTCAAACTCCGGTTCATGGCGAATCTAAGCACCCTTGTGGACCTGTGAAAGGATGGGAGCTCATGTCACACACACTCAATCTTGGTTTGTTAATCTCCATTTAACATTTCGGCTTTAGCTATTTTTCTGAAATGTTGACCCTTTTAGATCAATGAATATACTTTGTTTGGCGCTTGTCAGTGTTCACAAGGTTCAAAACATTTTGCCCCCCTCACACAGACTTTATATTCATACTATATTTCGTTGGAACGCATTGACTGATACATTCGAGATCATCGCGAAAGCCTCAAGTCACGTGAAAAATGATGCTGGCAGCTAGATGTATTGCATTAACTTCGGTTTTCGTTTTTGCGGAATTGTCGCTTTTCGTGTAGATAATTATTCACTATCCAGAACAAAAACCGAAGTCCATTAACCGGGGCACTACGAGAATGGCTCATTTATGAGCATGTTTCTCGTGGTACTGACCTGTTTTCAATTCTGCGGTATCAATGTACGGTAGAATCTCTTCATAACAAATTAGTTTTGCAGGTGCCTGTCTAGCAGCCACGTTGTTATTCAAATGTGAGAAGCTTCATAACGAATTTATTGTTGTAGCAAAGCTTTTTTTGTGTGTGAATAACAGCTTATTTTTAACGTGATTTCATTATGACTACGCGCGTAGCGTAGTTGCATTATAAATCGGAGGTTCACCGGCCAGAATCCTTATTTGACGCATAATTAATTTTCCAGAGCCGGTTCCAGGCGTGACTGCGATCATCCTCGCCGACTTCCTAAATGTAGCTGGTCATCGCATGAGTGCTGTATACAAATTGCAATTTGTGAAGCTGCTCAAATGCATTAGAGCGCAGCTGTTTCCGAGAATAGGCGCAGGAATGCCGGTGGTGCGATTGGAAGAAGTTGTTGACGGTGGCCTTAGATCTGGAGGAATGATGAACGTGCCGAAGGGTTATATTGCAACTGTGATTAAACCTAATTGAATGCTGGACGGATCCTAGGAAAAAATGGAAGAACTCTTGTTATCCGGGCTGTCATTAATCTGGCCATATTTTCAATTCTATGAAAGAGATGACTTGTTTTTTTTTATTTTTATGCGAGAAGCTTCATTTGCGTCTGAATGAGGCGTATAAACTCGAGTACCTCGTATAATTTCTCCCTAAACTTTGATCAGAAAGATCAGACGGGCGTTATATTCAATTGCAGCGGAAATTGAGTTCAATGAATTTTTTTCTTCAATTATGTATTTTTGCTCATTCTCCTTTTATTTATTTTCAATTTTCGCGTTTTATGTCGTACCGTATATGGTAATTATCCAAGCTGCCTTAATGCGTTAATGAGCTGCAAGATTTCCGGGTATTTTCGGAATATCGTATTACCGTAGGCCAGTTGCAGCGAAATATTTAATCGAAACGATTGTTGAAATTTCTTGAACCTGTATTTAGTGAACTCGATAATACGTGCTGTTGTATGAGCTGGCCGAAAGTCCGATAACCCGGATAATGTGAGTTTCTTTTTAATTCCGATTTTCGCGCTCAGTTTGAATTTTCCACTTTAAAGATCAGTTTTCTGTTTATCGGCTTTAGATGTTGTCGGTTTGTTTTTGTTGGATTTTGTGGCGGCCGAAAAGCGTAGAGATAAAGCTCCTGAATTTTTGAACCTTTTATTTTCTGCCTTGTCTTTTTTTCTGTGTCCGAGAAGACAATCATTGTTTTTTGAAGACATAATTTTGTAGGGTATGGTTTCGTTACGTACATCAATGATGTTCCCGCTATAAAGCGGAAGATTTTATTTTTTGTGTGACCTGAAGTGATCGCTTTAACATGGATCAACTCGTGAGTCACAAATCGTCCATTGTGACGGAAGGCGATATGAGCCTAGATTCCAACATGGCCATGACCGATTTGGACAAAGGTGAGGCGTCTTTTGTTCAAAGCGTTGGAATTTTAAAGCCAACATTTCATTTTTAACTCAGGCCTGAGATCATCGAACGTTGGAGAGCAGTGTGAAGCCATTGTTCGAGTTCCACGCCTGTTTGAGAATTATCCGTTCCCCATTTTGATCAACTCCGCGGTCTTGAAACTCGCTGATGTTTTCCGTTTTGGGTGAGTACGCTCTTTATGAAATAATACTGCATCGTTGGTTTTTTCATCATATTATCCTGCTTTGAATCTGCAGGAATAATTTCCTTCGCATGTGCGTGTTGCGAGTTTGTCAGCAGTCGAGACGCCATCTCGACAAGGTGATAAACGTCGACGAATTCGTGCAGAGAATATTTTCCGTCATACATTCGAATGACCCTGTTGCTCGTGGACTGACGTTGAGATTGCTGGGCAGTATTGCGGTGATTATCCCGGAAGCTAAGGAAGTCCATCATGCTATTCGCAGTGCGTTGGATTCACATGATCGCGAGGAGCTCGAAGCAGCAATCCTTGCTGCTGCAAGATTCACCAAACACTCGAAGTAAGTCAGGAAACTTTTGAAAAAGAGAGAATGAATGAAAATGCGCGAACACCGCGTTTTTCAAGGTGGTATGTTATAAATTGTGTTGCTTGATTTACAGAACGTTTTCGACGAATATCTCGGGGAAAATCAGTGAAATGATGGAAGGACTTTCGCACCCAGTTGAAATCAAGATCAAACTTCTTCCCATTTTTGGCAACATGCACCACGACGCTGAAACAGCTCTAACTGTTCGCTCACTATGTTTAGAGCTCCTTCGAACGTATCCTTCTGTAGAATTCAAAGTTACGACTATCCGAACTTTGACACGCCTGTCGATCGCCACTTTAGTGAACATCCCGGAACAAGTCTCTCTGCTGATTGAATGCCTTCAAGCGGATCATAGAGACGAAGTGAAACTCTGCGCCCTTTCAGACTTGCGACTGGTGGCGAAAGAAGCGCCGCATTTGTGGACTCAAGAGAATTGGAAAACTGTGGTGAAATTTGCCGAAGAGCGCCGAAACGAGCCTGTGATCTTCTCTGCGGTTTTGGTATTGCTCGGCTTGTTGACCGAATCAGGTTCTCTTCCTGAATTCGTACACGACCGAGCTATGCAAAAGTTGTGTTTGGAGGCCGCGGCAACGTCGCCGGTCGCCCGTGTTGGAGTGGAGGGTGCCGTTGTGCTCACAACCGTGGTAACTTCTTTGTTACGCTCGGGAAGAACGGATGAAGAGTTCGTGGAAGATGCTTTACTGGCTATTCAGGACCGAGTTTTCCGTTGCTTAGCCGCCCCGGACAAAAACCGCAACAGCCTGAAGCGACTTTTGTGTTTAGTGGTTAAACTAGCGTCGTGTTGCGATCAAGTGTGCGCGCGATTAGTGACGATATTGACGCAGTATTTGACGAGTGATTCGGAGGTAATGGCGAATGCGTTTTGTGGTATGGGAAGTGGTGGATGCAGAGACGCATTGGGGCCGGTGAAAGAGCGTGTGATGGGCTTGTTGAAAGACCAGTCGGTTGGGATGAGTTCCGAAGTATTTGGGACACTCATGACGTTGTTGTTTCAAGCTACGTCCGGGCTGGCGGAATGGAATGAGAAATTGCGAGAGATGATTGTGTTGAGAGCTGTGAGTGTGGATCCCTGGGTCTTGTACAGGATTGTTCGACAAGCCGCAAGGTGAGTTGGGTTTGATTGGATTTACGCAATGTTTTCCCAGAAGTCTTGCGAGTCACTAGCAAATTTGTCTTTGATTCTGGTGTAGTCTTAAATTCCTGTATTTGAGGAACTTACGGAAATCACTGGGAAGCGTTTTCTGAAATTGTACTTGGTACTTCGCCAAATTTCACGGTAACTTCTGCTGTCCAACGGTTTCATTCAAGGTCACCCCATTTTCGTCATAATTTTCCACTTTTTGCCTCTTGATCTTCAAAAAATCACTGAGAACGTAATTTCGCCGTAGAAGTTTTTAAAACTGCTTAGGAATGGTGTTGAGGTGGGATCTTTATCTCTGAAAAGTCTTTTCTAATTTTCTCCGTCTTTTTGAAAATTACAGGAAGACCAAAAACTTGTCTCCTTTTTTAAAATGTGTTTATTTTTGGTTTGGTGGTCTTTTGCGGAATTGGCTGTAATCAAAAAACTATATGTCGTCGAAAGAAGATAGTGTGGCTCCATTTGGTTGCATTTACGATTTTTGGATGATTCCAACCTTTTCCCGGAAATCTCGAGCATTTATCGCCAAATTTGTGCGCCAGTTGTCCATTTATGAATTAAACCGTGAGGTCTTTGAATTGTTATCGCATTTGCGAAAAACTCATCTTGAATTTCAGGTACGGACATTTTGAATGGGCTTCTGCGCAGTGTCAAACGCTTGAAGGGCATGCAGTGAAAGAAATGACGGTTCATTGGTTCAAATCCCTGCGATACGCATTTGTTGCTGAAACTGAGCTAAATAGAGCGTACACGATTTGCAAGTCGAACTCCATGGATCGCTGGGACTCGTTGAGCCGATCCATAATTTTTTATCACAACGCTCTCATATCCTTGAAGGTACTTCATCTAGTTGATACAGATTTACTTTATCTTACGCAACGAAAAAAAATGTTCGTTCTAAACGATTTCGACTAAATAAAAGAAACACAAAGAAGACCTTTTCCTGTTCTCAATTTATTAAAATAAACTGTTGATCTTTTTAAAAGGCCGTTGGCTCAGCCGACGTGAGCTCTTACTGGCGCGAGGAGTTCCTCAAGTTAAGGACGAAGATGCTGGAGGCTCATCGGTCGTTCGCAGTTGCAGTGACGGGTTTGTCAACGTGTCCCCCGCCATCTAATTGGCGAAAGAAAAATGGAAATTCACCGCCGAAATCGAAGAAAAGTGTCAAAGAATCTTCCGACGCCAGTGATGACGTCAACGGCGACGAAAGTGTGAATGGGGATGATTTGAGTGGCGATGATTTTTATCGTTACGGATCTGCAGCTCATCAGGTAAAATGGAAATTCACGTGCAAAATCATCTTTGTAGGGAATTGACACCTGGCAATATATTTTAGCAACTTTAATATAATTTTTGTGGAAATATTTGATATTTCATCGCTCAGTTGAACAGGGGAAACAATCCTGCAATATTAAAGAACCAGTCTGGTGCGTCAGACAAGATTTACTTTTGTAGGTCCAGAGCCAGAATTATTGTTTCCTTACGATAGAAGCTCAATCTGAATATTTTCCTGGATGATATTAGCGCATTTATAAAGTTTCTATTTTTGAATTAGAGCGAAAATATGGCACCAAACTACCGATCTTATTTGCGACCTTCTAACAGTGAATCATCGTGATTTTTGACGCACAGTACTTTCTGGTGCTCAAGATGGACTGTGAACCAAATATTGGCGTTTTAGAATTTAGAAACAGTGAATTTATGAATAAAATTTTGGTCGGATGTCGAATTCATCTGGTCGTAATTTAATTACATTTATTTCGTGAATCAAAATTAAGTTTATGGAATCGGTCCACCAAGTTTTATCTGCCGATGATAGAAATTTCTGAGTGGATTTGCGAGACGTTTGCGAAACTCCTCGTATTCTCAGAAGATTTTTTTACATGTATTTTTTGTGTTTCAGCTCCTCAAAGTGACGTCGAACTTTCGACACGTCGCGTCGGGATACGAACAGTTGATCGAAAAGTCCTTCGATGCAGATCCTCAAACGTTGATCTCGATTTCCCTGTGAGTCCCAAATGAATTTCATATTTAAGCATCGTTTGATGAATGCAAACGACATTTTACAGATTAAATCAGTCCTGTGGCTTGATGGCGAATGCAGTACAGTTCGCAATGATGAGAGCTGGTGCAAGAGCTGAGGATGGGGATGGAAAACGCATCGGTTCCTCCTTCTTCATCAGGTACGCTATTTTTGATTTTTCTCATCCCTTTTCTCATTTCTCTTTTAATGGTGAGCATTCATGAAAAAGTATTCTTAGATCAGTTAGATGTCATGTTTTGTGTATGTGTTGGTCAATGGATGACTCGAGTGTCAACTTTTTCATTCTAGCCCGCACAAATCTCTCGATGTAGAGAAAGTAATTTTCAAAAAAATAAAACATCGAAAAGCTTAGGATATACTGTAGTGGTGATTCAACCTCAATGATATTTTTGGATTATATTTTTAGGGACGCCATTATGGATTCCGCTGCGTTGAGCCTGGAGCATAAGATTCAACTCGAATCTCTCAACGCCTGCAGTTCTGCCCTGGATCGTCTGATGGGAACATTTGTGAAATCAGGCGATAAAAGCTTCTCCCCGCGACTCGTGGCTGCCGTTTTGGACATCACCTCTAGTCTATTCTGCGTTCCTCTCAGCTTCCCGCGTTTCTTCTTCCAACACGCGCAGAACACGGCCATCAAGCTCAACACGTCCCCGGAAACAAATTCTGCGTCATTTTCGCAAAGTTCAGCGCCGAATTTGGCAGTGAAAATCGAAGGCGTGATTGAGCACGGCGGGAAACGGAAACCCTTTCGGCGTGTGTCTCAGGTTGTGGTTTCAGTGAAAGCTCACGTGAGTGCCGGCGGTATGACTCAGACTTTGACGCCGAAAAACGATTATTTCACTGCGCAATTTCTCTTGAACACGGCGGCCATGATGTCGGGCTCTTCGAATGTCGTGATTGAAACGCATATTGTGGATGAGGAGGGACGGGTCTGGGATGGTGGGGTCAAGGTGCTGATGCCTTTGGGCGCTATGCCGAAATTCGGACCCGGGCTGAAATTGGGCAGAGCACTCGGAAGATCTGAGAGCCCGCAACTCGACAAGGATGCTCTGTCGATCGCGTGATAATTGCTGTGTGTTTTGAAGTTACGTACTGTACTTTACCGTGTTTTCCTAAAAATAGGTCGCAGTAAAAAATGTCTTATTTCTTCGAATATAAGAAGCAATTTTTTTCAAATTGACCAAAAAAAATCAGCGTGTCTCGTATTTTATGTCGTTTCGATTCGCAGGGATAGTATATGAAGGCTCCTGACCGACGCAATTTTATGAATAAAATTGCTTGAAATTTACTCTATTTATTCCATCTGCAATTCTGAGTTGAAGCCCTGATTTTTTTAAATAATTAAAATTCTGGAATAGGTAAGTGGAGCATGAGTAGGATCCAGAGTTTCATCCGATTATGAATAATTGATTGTGTTTAATGATTATTAAGCGTCGTTTATTTTATTGGAAATGGGACCCTACGTCCTTCCAATAATTAGCACCCCTCCAAAAATCAAATTTCATCTCGCAATAATTTCGAAATAATGAAGGATGAAGAAATTTCTACAGTGACACCCTGATAAACCTGTCAACCTTGGCAACTGCCAACATATTTTGAAGAATGGATCTTCATTGATAACGTTATCTTCCAAAATTATCGACAACTCGGTTATGCTCTTACCTATTAATTTTTGTATACCACAAAAGACATAGCATAATTTTGTTGAAGCTGTCGTCTAGTTGATTTTTGAAAATTTGATTTTTTTTAGTCGTTCAAGTTGAATGTGATTTCCGTTGCAGAAAAAGACGTCGCATCTGTTGAGGGGGCGGATAAGTTTTATTTTCGCTCTGGGAAAATTCCGGATTGTGGGACACGAATACATGACCCATATTTTCTTTACCTTTGTAAATTTTTTACAATCGCGCTTTTGCTGGCAAAAATGAAAAAAAATTTCGAAGCGGGAAATTTTGATTTCTTTCGAAATTTTAATTCGAATGCGTAATACTGTATACTGCTGTTCCCTTTATATCTTTTCAGAATCTTTTCCCCTGGAAAGCTGCGACGTGATTAGCATGAATGCGTTGCCATTGGAGGTAAATAATTGTTTGCGTTCCAACGGAATGAGTTTTCTTTCAAGAAATTGGCTCTTGATTTTCAGTTGCTCGCTGAAATTTTCTGTCGAGTGAACTTTGGGGATCTTCTTGAACTTCGCCTCGTCTCCACGAAATTCAACGAAGCTGTAACTTATTCAGCTGACCGGTTTTTGTATGTTATAGCGGATCCATTCCTTTCGAATCCAACCGAAATTGAAGAAAATGTGGAATCATCTGCCGAAACCCTGAAGAAGTCTTCGTTCCCGTTTCATAATTTCTTCATTAAGTGTTCAAACCTGCAGTCTTGTTTTCAGTCAGCGAAAGAAATCACTTTGAATGGAGTGGAAATTACATCGAAATTAGCCGAGAAAATCTTACAAAACGCGTCCTCAAGCCTGAAGAAACTCTCATTGGAAGACTGCAATTCGATTTTCATCACTGGTCAGATTTTTCGTGATTGGACCCCAGATCAAGCCTTAGAAAATCTAGTCTGCCTTCGAGTGTCGGATACTCGTTATTTGAGCGATGATATCTTCAGCAGAATTTTGCCATTATGTCCGAATTTGCGATCATTGGAACTGGAGCGATGTCAGATTTCTTCGCATGGCATGGTTCACCGGAGATTTTATCCCGCGGGAAGGGATGCTATGCTGAGTCAGTCTTTGCTGTCTGTTCAGACTGTGATGAGACTTTTGAGCAAACATTGTAGAGCGATGAAGTCGTTGAGTTTCTGTGAAATGGCTCTCACAGACGACTTTGTGGAAGAACTGTGTGGTTGTAGAGCGTTTCAGGATTTAGAAGAGCTCAGCTTGAACGTATGTCCGAATATTTCTGAAAGAGGATTCTTGCGTATTCTGCAGAGTTTCCCAAAACTGAAGAAGTTCAGTTCTGTGAAATCACTTCGTGTGATTTCTGGAAATTTGGTGTCAGCACTGGGATCTGATCTCGAAGTTTTGCGACTTGGAAGTTTTGCCTCACTTTTCACTCTTAGTGGAGCGCCGGATGACCTTATCTCAATTTTCAATCGGAATCCGTCTTTACATACGCTTGTCCTGCGTTCAACGGGAACCATTCCACTTTTGAACGCATCCATTGTTGCCGATATGATGGAGAAGAAGATGAAGTTCTTCGAGTCATTGACGGTCTTGGATTTGTCGGAGTGTATGTCTGAATCTTGCGATATTGAATGTACACTGGATATACTGGGTAGGACACGGGGACAGCATCTAAAAGAATTGTATTTGAGCAACGTTCCTAATTTAACATTCGTTGCTCTTTCATTCGTTTTCAAATACTTAACCAAACTGAGGCTATTGGATCTTTCGAAATCCGTGAAGTTAGAGGACGATCACCTGTTTGGTTGCCCTGAAGAAGGAACGGAACCCGAAGTTGTTGTGGTGCCTCAGATGTGCTCATGCAACGCAACGCGTTCCAATATTCTTTCTTGCAATCTTAGAAGAAACGCGTCGTCAACCGGCTGTTCGTTGCTGAATTTAACAGGTTTGATTTTTCTTTGGTTATCAGTTTTTGTTCCTCGAAGAATTGATAGAACTGTTTTCATGTAGAACTTCAGGTCTTGAATCTATCTTCGTGTGGTCGGTTAACGGAGGTGGGGATACTTCATGGCCTCGGTCATTCCAGCCTCCACACTTTAGACATTTCGTGCAATCGAGTGAGTAAAGGTTCTTTCAAATACGATGTGCGACGTTCGTAGCATGATAGATTACAGTACTGTGTATACGGTGCATGATACCTTCAGCAATCGATTTTACTCTCGAACCTATGAAAGTACTGCCTTCCGAAAACGGTTCGTATTTTATTCAAATTCAAAGATGTCCCGAGGAGCCGTGAAACCGGTGGCGATCTTGTTGCCATCCCTGAGAGATCTGATTATGGATGGATGCTATGGTGTTCAAAATGATGATATCATCACATTTGTTCGTGATGCAAGAAGGCTGAAAAGGCTCAGTTTGCGCGTGAGTATTGTTTGGCAGCTATAGTTAAATTTCAATTTTAAAATGAAATTTTTGTGAACATTTCATATTCTATTTCCTTGTTGATCTTTCAGGGGATTAGAGAACTCAACGAGTTTGCTACCGAGTAGGAGTCCTACTTCAGCGACGGGATATTCGTGAGAATTGCTGTGTCAGTTCTTTTTTGAACCCAAACGTCTATTGTGCGAATTTAATAGAAAAAATTGTCAGTGGTCGTCGTCCTTTTGATTTCCTGTCGAATCGCTGAGAGTTATGTAAGTAGTTTGACTGTAGTGGGAATGTTTCTGCATGCTCATTTGAATCGATGCCTCTACGATGGTAACCTGATTTACAAAAGGTTTTTTTTAATGCGTGTTCCGTATCAGGAATTTAGAATAAATTCATGAATTCGAGACTATGTATTACTTCGACGACTATGGCGTGCAAAGAAAATACCAGCAAAATTCTTGGTGTCGAAGTAAGGTGAGCATGAAATCCATACTGCAATGGAATGGGCTAATGGTATGGAGATGGAGAGATAACTGCCTGATGATAGGAGAGCGACATCTATTGTTAGTCGACCGCTCATGTAAAGCGTTGGAGTACATCAAACACGTCTTAGTTGTGTACGCCAATTTGTGAAGTTGGTACACCTGCAACACCTTCATGCTGTAGTCGGTGTGGCTGGCACTCCTATTGGGTTAGTGAAGCGCCCGACTTGAATGCGGGCGGATGGGCTTGACGGAGGTGAATCTTCGCTGGATTTTCTCTCTGAATTTTTGAATCGGTAAAATACGTTCGTATGTGTCCGTGATTTGCAGTGTTTAATTCAGTGAATAGTAGCTTGTTGTCGACCAGTCCATGTTCCATAGTCCGATAAGTGACTTTAGCCGTCATTGTAGCTTCCTGCAGGAACTTCGAGTATTGTTGAGCTATGTCCGCCGGAAACATGAAGATTAGTATTTCGGATGTCTTGCACTAGCTAAAATAAATCGACGCAGACATGACAATCATCGCTTTCCTGGTTGACACTTCCGCGTCCATGAACCAGCGCACTATCGCTGGTGGACGACCGACATTACTAGATATGGCTAAAATTGCCATTGAGTCTTTCATTAAGGTATGTTGATGATTCTAATTTACATTATTTGTCATTTTTTCTTAATTTTTCTATGGTTTTGTAGATGCGGAGTAAAAAACTTCCCGAAGCTAGTGGGGATCGGTACATGTTACTGACCTTTGAAGAACCACCTTCTCATATCAAGGTAAATATTCGACTGCTATTTTCTGCCTTAAATCATCTAAGCTGAAGATTTCATTTCAGGTTGGCTGGAAAGAAGGAATGAACGTTTTGATGCATGAGCTGAAGAATTTGCATGCCATTGGCATGACTACTCTGGGAGCAGCCCTGAAGAACACTTTTGATTTAATCAATTTGAATCGAATGCAATCAGGCGTTGACACTTTTGGTCAAGGTCGCAATCCTACGTACATGGAGCCGGCTGTGGTTGTTGTTCTTACAGATGGAGAGCGTCTAACTGACGTCAATGGCGTCAAGGAAGAGGTAATTCAGTTTTATCTGCATCGGGTTATGAACTTACTTTTTGTAAAGCGAAGCAATAGAACAGAGCGACATGTGGTCATTGTGCGATTTTGAGAATGGAGATAATCTTCTTAAAAATGGAAGCTTTTCCGAATTACGCTTTTTTTACGGCATTTTAAGATGCATTTGAAGTGACAACAAAATTCCTGCAGAAATTGGGTTAACATTGATGGAATTTTCAGAGTATAATGCAGGTACTTTCCTTTGCTGAAAACGCAACAGCAATTCAGAACGCGCCTTATATCCCTCGATTGATTAAGTCATTCTTTCTTCGCTTTTTTTCACTAATTGGAGACGAATGTGATTCATTCCAGATTGAATCGGGATCAACTCTGAGTTTGGTTGTAATGGTTGCAAAAGCCAGATTTATGACAAAATCCAGTATTTAGGTTCAAAATACTGTTCGTTATAATTTCAGATTTTACACATATATTGATTAAGAATTGCAGTTATAAATCAAGATGGTTTTTAATTTACATTGCCGAAAAAAAAATCTTTAATAACAGCTAGTCTAATCGTCCATTTTGTTGGATTTTTTCCTTATGCTTTATTAATTCAGGCTCTTTACTTCAATTTCTTTCATTTTTTCATTGTTTATTTTTTTCGTTTGAATTTTTATATTGAGCAATATACATACAGTACTTCTACTTATTTTATTTTCCCTAGTTGTCGTTTCCATCTCAACCGCAAATTCCTGGTGCCGATTTATGCCGGGATATTTACCGATGGGATCAAAGAGTGTTCGCACTTGTTCTGAGACTCTCTGGTGCGCCTTGTGGCGATTCCAAAGAAGCCACGCTAGTTCCCTCAGATCGCTCACCAGTCGACGGCCTCTGTGAACAAACTGGCGGTAAGCTTATTTATCAAGATCTGTCATGGAATCCGATATTTAAAAATGTTATGTCTCTTTTTTAGGTCGATCTTATTGCATTACTTCGCACAGAATGATGATGCAATGTGTGGAAAGCGTAGTGGGAAAGATTCAGCTTGGCGTGGTTTTCCATTTTGAAAGAAGTGGACCCGATATCTCGTTAACTGACGGTAAGTTGTCTATTTGACGGGAAAGAGTTATTCCATTTTATCCCCTGATACTTTAATTGCAGGCATCACTAAGTCAGCGGATGCCCTCTCCTTACCTTACGATCCTCTAAATCCTGAGCATGTTCTTCCGGATAATCTACGAATAACCGTACCTGGTTCCATCGGTAAGTTGAACGTTCTATTTTCGGTGCTTTAATTATTCGTAACCTGCTTATCTGTAAATTTGAGAGATAAGAAGTAAGGTGAGGCAGTTATGTTATTGTGTGCCAAGTGTATTGCAAATTTTTTAAACTGATACTCTTTTATACCATTTTTGCCCGGTTGACAATTATTCGGTGGTTTTTGAAGGAAATGATTCATCACGCCCTTTGGTGCCGAATCCCCTAGCTCCGGCGATTCAAACATTCCCGAAGGATTGGAATTCTTGTCGAAAAATGATTTATGTGAACAAGGATCCAAAAAAGGGCACAGTTACTGCGTGGTGGCCGGTTCCTGAAAATTTCTGGCCTGATATGAACGCACAAAGTTTGGTACGTTGGCAATTTTTTGTGTATTTTTTGCAATTTTTTCCCCTTCCGATGAATTTTATTTTTTGTTGATTTTTTAATGTAATCATTCAGACGTTTTGATAGGATCATTTTATTTTTCAACATTACGTAATTGGCGCTTTATTATCATTTGAATTTATGATTGCACAAGCGTCTGAAAGCGACTAATTCCGTGATCAGAGGTCATTTGATCGCCAAGTAGAAGCTCAAGCCAGACCTCACGTAAAAGTTTCCTTCCTTTTTTAGTTTAATGTGTGATTTTCGTGTTCGTTTTGTCTGTGAACACGTTCAATATCTTGAAGCACTTTTCGTAATAACCGTAAAAATCTAACGGAATGTTCGCTATAAAAACCGCATTTTCATGAGGGATTGATGATAGCATTCAAAATGATCCCGGATTATCTAGTTTTGGGACCTTCGCAATTCTAAAAATTGAAGTACTGTAGTGTTTATTATAATTTTTTAATTATTGCTGGGGGTTAACGGAAGATCTACGATCTCTCGTTGCTTGTTCGGTTGATTTTTCATCACCAAAACTGATTTTTCCAAAATTTTCCAACAAACCAATGTGAAACTTTTTCGAAATTCATGATCCATATTTTAGCCGCTGTTCATCCTTTTGGTCAAAATTGGTGATCGCCGAGAAAATGGTGTAAATCTATAGAAAATTTAAGCTGGGAATTAAACTTAGAAGTTGTGGAAAAGTAAAAGATGTGTCTAATACCAGCAACAACAAGAAAGACATTAAACTGGTCAGGGTTAATAAAAGTTCGTAGAAAGTACTACCATCAAGCACAGTACTTGCGGAGCTAACACGAACTTTTGCATGTAATCTTTCGCATAGTAAATTTTTAATGGGCGTAACCCTGGAGCCATTTGACTTCGAAACTTCTGTCTTTTCGTTCAAAAGTTAACTCGCGGAAAATAGGGATTCTTCGGCTGATGGAAAATTGTGTGAATTCACTTCCACACGATTATAATTTTTTTCATCTCTCTCATTGATTAGCCTCCACGAACCGCCCAGCCACATGTCAAGTTCTCATGCGCACCCACGGATTTCGTCAACTCTGATCCGGTTCCGTTCGATCGCTATGAGCTGGAAGCCTCACCGTTGACTTTGTACATTTTGTCGCGGAAAATGCCTCACGCCGTGTGGCAAGTGTTCGTTAGCAATAGTTATAAGAGCAATTCGGAAACCAGTCATCCGTTCGGGTATTTGAAAGCCAACCAGAACCTAGATCGGGTCAATTTGTTCGTGTTACCGTACAATTACCCAGTGATCGTGCCTTTGATACAAGAAGCTGCGAGAATGACGAGGAACGGGAGCAAGCCGCAAAAAGAGTGGAGGGTCAATTTTGACAATTATTTGCGCAACACACCAACGTACTACATTTTGGTGAGTCATTTCTGTTACATTATAATTAATGCCAATTTAGCTGAACTTCTTTGTTCTTATTCTTCCTGAACGTCAGACAGGTGTCGTTCCTTTTTCGAACCTGGCTGAAGCAATCTATAATCTCTGACATTTTAAAATCTACATCAGTAACAAACCTCAAATGAGTAAACTTATCAATTCTGTTTTTGTTTCGCTCGAGTTAAAGTCGAAAGACCCAAAGCTGAATATGTTCTGTTGAAGCTTTTCGAAATTATTCAGCAATTAAAGCCATTGAAATGTTGCTGTCGGAAAACACATTAGTATTCCGTCATCCGTTCGAGACGACTGCAATTGGATGAAGGATGAAGGACACAATGAGTGCAGAATAATTTTTGAGGTTGTTTATCATGAAGCATTAACACGTCAGCTGATTATTGCTAGTCGTTCTTACTGGAATGACAGGAGCCCCTAATAAGATTTGTTGAAAAAAAAAAAAGGGTGCGTCTTTTGTTCGATCGTGACTTAAATTTTTATGCCAAGTACTGGACATGATTGCGTATAATACACAGTATTTTGACTGCGAAATCTAAAATTTTAAGTCGAATCCTTCCTCCACTACCATTTCACGTACAAGGGCGCGAGAGATACTGTGGAAACCTGATTTCTTTCGGAAATATCGCAAGAGTCGGCATATATCATGAACGAATAGAATCAATGAACTGCTATGATTCAGATGCGATGGAATGCAGTAAATAACCCGCCGGACAGTTTTTTTTTTATTTTGTTTGATTGACGCCGTAGAAAAATGTAGGCGGATCTTAAAAAATGCGTCTTACGTTCGAGAAATTTTGCAACGGCCATTCATCCCTGATGTGAACGGAAGGGTTAAATTCATAAATTTTTATTTCTTGTTTATTCCTATGACAGCCGTTGAAGCGAGCCTTGAACTCGATGAAGATGCCGAATTTGATACCCGAACATGTGGAGATAAATGGCCTAAGTTACGCGGTTTGCAGTCACCTCAAAAAAGTCAAAGCCGCCGCAAAAACAGAACTAGATCGTATTAATGATCTGGTCGCGAAACAGCAAGCCGCGTCGCAAATGAACGGAATGAAATCCCACGGACCGACGCAAAATGACTCAATACGCGTCGCTTATCGAGCGTTTGCAAACCGGGAGTTCGTTGCACATCCGGCTCTCAGAGGTAAAAATCGACTTTTGACCTTAAGATTTATTTTCTCGTTGCTTGATTCATTTTGCGCAAAAAAATCCTTGCCTGCGTCATTTCTAAAAATGTGTCTTGATAATCACGTATCGACAGATAAATTCAACGTGCTGCATCGAGATATCATGGAGTTCAAGAACGTGATGATTCCCGCTCGCCAAAGAAAAGACGTCACGTTGCAAAAATTCAGAAACGCTTTTGACATTCCGCGGCGAGATCTGCTCGCTCAGGTGGCCAGAATGCGCACAAATTTCATGCAGTCGTTTTTCCAACGGTCGAAGCTTCACGAAGATGGTGAGTGAAGCTCATTTCACGTTATCAATGCTGTTACAAGATGCTTAAAAAATGAACATTTGTTCATGGGATACGTTAGTTTTTGGGTACTGTCGAATTTCGAGGGAAACACATTTATTGAAGTTAATTTGGAGCTGTGGTGAATGTTTGGAAAAGTTGCTTTAAGAAACATTAGTACTGTTCTGTACTATGAAACCAGTTCATGATCAAATTATCCGCGTAGTAGCGACATCTAAGAAAGGAGAACGATATACTTGTTCAACACACGCATGCCTCCATTTAAGACTTCTGTCATCTTTTTAAATACAGTACAGTACTGTACAGAAGTTGGCCAACACATTAAATACACAGTAAAGTATATGTCGCCTGTGCGTGCTTTCTCTGAAACGGGGCCGTTACATTTTCAAGGTATCATTCCTGTTTTCCACTTGGTATTTAATGTTCTGTAATCAACTGTCTTTTTTTTTTTAATCTAAAATCCTTGGAATTCATAATACATCTTTTAAAATTGAAAATGGCAATGTGACCGCCATTGACTATTACCCACGTTGAAAATTCTTAAATTATGATGAAAGGGTAACAAAGTTCTCGCTGTGGAGTAATTTTTTTTTACGCCTGACGTCAATAGAGAAGGAAACCTATCGTATTCTTTCCCCCTCTGTCAATAACGAAGCTTTCATGAGACGGAAATCACGTTGTTGATATTTGTTTGTGTTTGCGTGCTCATATTTTGTCACCGTCATTTCAGATCAACTGCACTCATTGTCTGTGAGCCAGATGGGAAATTTCCAGGATGCATTGTGCCGAAATCCCCCGCTGAGAGAAGTGGTTGAGTCGACTTTGCAACGGCAACACATGTTCGGTAACCCCTTCAAAGTAAACAAGGTACGCGTTGGCTCCTTCATGAGATATGGTCAGGTTTTGCGGCTTCCACGCTATGTCATGCGATTTAAAACGTATAATTACCTCGTCTTCCACTGGTTCAACTTTTTCTTTCTTGAATAATGTTCTTGTATAAATACTGTATATACTGTACACTACTGCACATAAATATATATCCACTTATGTATTCATGTACTGTGTACCCTTTTCAGATGCACTCCTATTGGGTTAGTGAAGCGCCCGACTTGAATGCGGGCGGATGGGCTTGACGGAGGTGAATCTTCGCTGGATTTTCTCTCTGAATTTTTGAATCGGTAAAATACGTTCGTATGTGTCCGTGAACCCCCCCCCCCCCCCCCCCCCCCCCCAAGAAATTCAGGGTACCAGAAAATTTTTTTTCGTAGAGAACCCTTATGAGATGGGTAGCGAACCGTATTGGCTCAAAAAATCGTTATAGTGAGAAAATAGCTGAGCAGAATGAGTCATTTTATTGATGACCGACTATTTTTTTCATATGGAAATACATTTGCCGATTTATCACATCAGTATTCATTCTGAATAGTACAACGTCGGTGATAATGAATTTTGAAGAAGAACGTCAATTCGGAATCTCAGTTACTTCCTGTCTTGTATTTTCAACGTTTTTTCTTTCATGGAGAATATTTTGTGTTTCATATTTGTGTGCCTTACCGTACACGTGATGATGTAAGGTTATTGCCGAAAGGCTAATTTCACGAAATCAACTTCCTGCAAGAGGAACAGTCATAAAGTAGGGAAAAAATAAATGTGTTGGATTATCCCGGAAAAGACTCCTGTTCATAAGCTCGGATAATCCAACCTCTGTTGAAAGTAGTTACTTGTAAAATTGAAAAATTAGCTCGTTGATATTGAAATTAATATTTTTAAAAATATACATGTTTTGGAACCGTCAAATTTTTTCAGTTTTAAATCAAACCCGAATAAATATCGAACAATCATACGTGTTCGAGGTCTCTTCGTTGTTTGATTAGTCGGATCATCGCAGCGGCTTTTTCGCCTTTTCAGAAAATGATGATGATCGATGAGGCAGATAGTGACGATCAATACCCGGTTAGTTTCCCGGGTGCGCCTGCACTATCCTCCGGTAACTCGAGTAGGCAATCTCTGCGACGATCTGCCTCTGCTGCGAATCTGGATCCGTTGGGTTTGGCCCGACCGGGGTCTGTGAAACGGAAACGCGGCCCGATTCCGCGGGATTTTGTGTACCGACCTACGACGCCCCGGCCGTTTTTCTCATTGTTCTCTGCTCCGGCGTCGCCGGCGCCGGTCGTCATCGAGGAAATAGCGACGGAACCCGCTGGTGCGGCGTCGCCTTTGCCTAATGGAGACGATTTCTCAGTTGTTTACGAATTCCCTTTGAGTAAGTTCGCCTTCATCACTGCCTCGTTATTGAATTTGAAGTGGAGCTGAAATAAAAAAAAAAGAAATGTTCGGAATAATTAAGGGAACGCAACTTTTTCACTTGTTCAAATTTCTGATATTTTAGCGTCAATTTTTTCTTGTGATAACATGTGATTAACAACTGCAGTATAATCGCTTTCGGTCGCACTTCGAGGGACCAGCAACAAATTCGAGTTAGGGAGACAAACATTTTCTGTTAGAGCGGAGAAAGAAGATTTCGAAGAAGTTGTAATTGATTTATTTCGGACTTACAATTGCTTCTTAAATGAGTCGACAGTGTGCTGAACTTGGAGGCAGAGGTTTCTTTGTACAATTAGTCCGCCACTTTCTTTCAAAGAATGTCAAGTTAAATTTTTATTGCTTTTCTTTTTCCTGTGTCGATAAAATAATAGCCAAAAAAAAGCCCCCAGAAAATTCGAATTATAGATGTTTGAAGGGGAACGGCTTCGAGTTCGGGTAGACTTGAATGCATTGTTTCTGGGGGAATTTCGACGTGGACTTGGAAAAAATCGAAGAAGAGAGGTATTCACCTCGGGAGGTTCGAGTTATCGAAGTTCAAATTCAGTACTGTATGTAGAAATGTTTTCGGAGCTAATCAAGTCTAACTTTTTTGCATTGGAATTGGATTGATAGATAGGCCAGGAAATATGTCTGAAGGACTTCGAGTGAATTCATACTTGGTTAACAATGAACTAAGCGGGTTTTGTGTGTTTTTCAATTATACATTTCTCAATTTTATCAATTTTTTTATTCGCAGGTCCCGCTCCAGCTGTAGAACTCGTGGAGCGGCTGCCAGCGCCGCAAGACCCTGTAATCATCGCACCACTGCCACCGTTTGTTCCGAACGGAATTCCCGTGGTGAGTCCCGCTGTAATTCCAGAGCAGTCGGCTGTCGTCGAGCCAGTTGTCCCTCTGCTCAACGGACACGTCGGGCCAACTGCGGAGGAAGAAGTGTCCGTCTCTATATCCAAGGAACAGCCGAAAGTGATCCGCAAAAAACGCGGCGATTTTCGCGTCGTGATGGGTCCAGTTGATACGCTAGATTTCGCGTTCCCGATCAAAGAGGACAGTGCGTGGGAAGTGCGTCGACACAATCTGTGCGTGCGACGGGAAATTTGGCGAACTGTGCGGAATCATTCGCCCGATGGCGATCGACAAGTCATCTTGAGTCTGTTTGACCTTCGTGGGTCTATGGAGACGAGAATCGCATTCGTTGATTGTGTTTCGCGGGAAGCTGCCACGTTTTGTAAACGGAATCTGGTACAGCAACTGGACAAGTTCCGACAAATTTTAGTGCACTTCAGCGAGAAGATCAAGTCGAATCCGCCGCCTGTTGAAGAAGAACCGACGGATTCGGTCAACTGTAAGAGTCGTTTGAAGTCTGACGATTCTCCGGCAAATAGTTCAGTCAGATCCAACCCTCTCGAAGAAATCGTCAAAAACAACTCAAGCTCCGGTGGTCGAGAGAACAACAAGAACAATTCCAGAGATTCTGAAGACTCGGACGAGGTTGAAGACGAAGAAGAGGAAGAAGAAGAAGAGGAGGAAGAAGAGGAAGAAGAAGAACCGCGATCCACGCTACGAAGAAGCAATCGGAATTGCCGTGAAATAGAAGACGTATCGTTTAAACGATTACGCGAAAAGCGAAAAAGATAATATGCACTCTTTATTTTTTAGCCGAAAATTTTTGTAAGTTGAGGAGGAACAGATTTACCTAAATTTCGTCTTTGTCCAAAAGGCTGTTGAATTTTAAGTGTTTCCGATCGACTGCGACGAGGCGTCGGCTCGGAGTGATATTGTTACGTATAATTCTTGCTCACCATTGTTCTCATATCCCCTTGTTTTCATTCAGAAGTTGGATCAAATGGTAGAATCCGGAACTCGCACGTTGATTTGGGGGATTGTAAGTGGTTGGAAATATAAATGAAGTTGGTTAGAATTTGCTCGAGAAGTTCAACTACTTTTCGTCGCTTGTCTCTTTTAAATTGTGACGTATTGATGTGACATTTTCCAACGATATCTTTTCAACATAAAGCAATAATCAATGATTCTGAAATAAAGATTAGGGTGCTTTTGATTTTGACGCGAGGTTTAAAGATTTAATACTAATGTTTTAAGTATCAAATTTTGATGACGAAATGCAGCTGTGCAGCGTCTATATATTCCCTCAATTTTTCAGTTTTTTCAGATCAAATTTTGCTGTACTGTATACGAAAGATAAAAAAGGAATTGTACCTTGGAATACTGTACTGTACTTCGTTTTTATGTATTGAAGTTTAACACAAATTTTAGCCACTTCCTTTTTCCTAGACAGAATTAACGTTTGCACAAAATCAATGTCCAATTTGGGCCAACTTGAGTGGCATCAGAAAGGCGGCCAAAAATTGAAAAAATATTATCTGTGCTTTCTTTCATCGTCCAATTGGGGAACATTTTCTTGACGATTGTTTTTCTTCTCTATTTGGCCATTTGTGCGAAGGAGTTCGATCAAGTTAATAGATCAACTAAAACGGAGTAGCCCGGTTTTTATTCTGAAAATTGTGTGTTGCAATGTGTCATGGAAAATTTTTTCCTGCTCTGGTATGCGAATAGAGTACGGTCCGTTTTTTATACACTATTTCAGGACCAATAAATGATCGAATTTACCGTAAATTTCTTACTTAGGCGTCATTAAAGCCAGAGAGTCGTATTTTAGATACTTATTTGACAAATTTATACAATGATTCTAAAGTAATGTCAGTGAGGAGTTCGCATTATTTCTGAAATAATTCTTCTTTGATCGCATTTACGGTTTTCCCCCGACTTTTGAACTTGACTTTGTTTTAGTGATGTTCGGAAGTTGATTGCTGTAGAGCTCTTATTAGTCTATTGAAAAGCGCGCTATAACTTATGGTAAGGTCGTAAGTTCTAGCGCGCTTTTTTTTCAGAGAAAACGTTGTGGTAATGAGCGATGATCTCGGTTCTAAAGGTGCGAATGATTTATGATTCAGGCCTCCTTTCAATTTGACAGTGTGTATTTCTTTCAGTGATGTGGAGAAGTTGAATCTGAAACTTTCCATTCCGAGTGAGATCGTGGCGTGTGTCTCTTTTCGTCACGAAAGTGAACCAAGAGTTTTCACCTGGAAAGCAAAGCTGGAAAAAATATAACTGTCCATCAGACGGATGGCAGATGAAGGGTCGGTAATCACGGCGAATCGAAGCATTCGTTCGACAGTGAGAAACACTTGCGATCATAGTCGGCATGTTCTGTGCCAGAGAGGAGACAATCGTCTGACGCTGACCGACAAATCTTGGGTTTTTTGTGACACGATCCGAAAGCTCGAGTTCGCATTTTGCGGAACAGTGTTTCGTGTTCTTTGAGTTTCTCAGTGAGTGAATCGAGCTTGCGTTTGTACGCGCACGACTTGTTGGTGAGGTCAGTGATAGTTTTTCTCGAGTCGCGGAGTTTGTTCTTCAGATCTGTGATAGTGGCTTGTGCCTCTGTGAGCTCTTGTGTCCGGTTCTCGCATTCCTTAAGGAGCATCTTACGTTGCCGACGAGAGCGATCTACTTCCTCGACGAGTCCTCGACACCGACAGTCGAATTCGGCGACGCTTTTCCGCAAGCCGGCGAGAATCTTCTCGTTCTCCCGCGACGTGTGCTTGCTCTCTTTCGGAGTGCACTTTTGCGCCAAATCCAGTGAAGTTTCCAGTGAGACGATCTTTGAAGTGAGTTTATGCTTTTCCTCGGACAAGGCTTCGATCTGATCTTGCAGAGCTTTGAGTTTTCGTGAAGCCTTGATGGAGTGCGCTTCGGCTTCGCATTTCTGCCTAGCGACCTGCTCTACGTGGCACTGAACGCTGGACAGTTCGCTGCGGAATTTCTGCGCCATGCTCGCGTTGGTTTCCATAGTCCGTAATCGCGTTTTCGTTTCTGTCAATTCCTTGGACAATCTGCACTTTTCAGTCGTGGTTTTCTCCAGCTCGGCGTGGAGTTGCTGCATTTCAATGGCGTGTTGTTGTTCGTGTTGGGCGTAACGATCACTCTGGTTATTTATCTCGGCCTTAAGAGCGCAAAGCTGGTCTGAGACACTGAGTTGTGACTTCTCGGTGATCTTCATGAGACGCTGGTTCTCCTTTTGTAGCCGATCCAGGAGCTTGGATTTTTCGCAATGATTGCCTTCAATTTGTGAGAGCTTGAGAATGAGTTTCTGTTCTTGGCAACGGGCTTCTTCGAGGTTTTGCTTGAGCTGTACTTCGGCGTCTGCAGCGGTGTCGAGTGTTGCTTGGATACGGTTACAACGAGTCTCCGCATCCTCGTGCTTTAGTTTGGCTTGTTTCAGACGTTGTGTTGACGCGTTCAGCTCGAACTCCAAGCGTGAGTTGTGGTCACGCAATGTCTGTAATTAGTATTCTCAATGAAGCACGCGGGAGAGATTACTTCGTGTATTATTAAAGGTAATGTGGAACGCATTCTTACGTTCCCTGTTTCTAACATGGAAATAGTCAGTCCTGAACATGGCGCTGTGCCGTATTTTCCTCCTTTTCCTTTTCTGGAGGCTTAATCTATTTCATTTAATCCCATGGCTTTTGAGAGAAAATTAAATCACGCAGAAATAACGAATCCATTTCAAATTGAAAAGTGATACCGCACTTACCTCGCTCTGAGATCAGGCAGAAAATTAAGTTTGGAAAAATAAGAAGAGGATGAAGTTCATTATTTCATTGAACCGATGTCATTTTCGTGAATTTCCTATGTCGAAATTTCCTCGTACAAATAATCGTACAGTATTTCAATAAGTAATATCTTGTTATGTACAGTAAACAGCTCTTACAGTAGTAAATTCTGGTTTAAATAAATTTTCATCTAGGTTCCCTTTCCAATATTCAAAGTGTTTTTGAATGTAGGTGTAACTGAATTTTCTTAAAAACGCAGCTTGTTTTCATGTTCCGAAGGACTCGTTGGAAAGAGGTAACGTCACTTGATACTGATGGTTGATTTATTCAGAAGAGCATTTAGATCTTGGATGTTGTATGTTGACGCCATCTTCAAGCGGGGAAATCTGAGAAAACACATTGCGTTAAGCTAGAAAATTCTTCAGATCGTTTAATCTTTTTTGCTGTTGATCATTTGCCTTTAAAATGTATTATCGGAAATGCGTGGTAGGGCGAAGTGGGAGAAAATTGAAAAGGAAGTCAGGCGAATGCTGAAACATCGACAGCTTTGAAGTGGAGTGGTATAATTCCGCTGAAAGCTGCTAAAAGGTGTTTTATGCAATTGCATATCTATGCATCAATACGGGAACGGAACAACATTCGCAGTCGTTTGAATGCAGTAGTCGCACACATTTCGACGCATCGGTTCTTCTCGCTGCAGATCCGATGGCATCATACTAAAATTTTATCGGCCGAAGTCAATTTATTGCAGATAAAAATCCCTTCAGGAAAAATTACAATGAAGGAAATGTTGCAGGAGAAATCTGCATCGAAGAATCGAAGTGAAGGGGGGAAACAGAAAAATAGAATTGGGAAAGATGAACCGGAAGGGAATTGATGAAGTACAGTAGTTTACATAAGGGTTGTCCAAATGATGTGCGTGTGTCACTAATGAAAATTGGAGAAAAAAAACACCATTAATTTTCCCATGATGTTTTAAAACTTACTGATCAGGTGGACTCTCCCCACAACGAAATTCCAAGACCATAAAAAATTCGTTGTAGTACTTGTAGAGAACCCCTAAGGTATGGACCCCTAAAATTCGTTTTACCGAGAAAATCGTAGGCTGGATTGTTGTAGAGAGTCTATTCGTGCTATAAAAAAAATTCGGATAGTTTAGAACTATTTTCCAGTACAGTATGGTGAAAAGGGAAAACTTTGAACAGGGAAATATTGAATTACATTTGTCATTGGGACCACCCTTTCGTACCATTGAATATATAATTGAATATATTTTGACATAAAACCAGGAGATGAGGAGTGTTTTTTTATCTGAGCTTGGATTTAATTTGTATAAAGCATCGATACCTGGCCTTCCTTTAAATGAATTACCTCCGGGATATTTAAAAAAAAAAAATTCTCGGAGTTTCCTGATCAAATCTGAAACGAATTCTTAGAGCGCACGCCATCTTTTCATTAGTAAAGCAGAGAAGGCGTTTATTTTCAGACAAACACATTTACAAGACTGTACCTGAATTTCTTGTTGAAGGTGCTGAATTTTGCAGGATTTTTCTTCCACAATATCCTGAAGTCGCGTCATCTTATCTTCGAGAACTTCAGAGTTGCGCGAAATGTTACCGTCATTCTCCCGCAATTGTTGAGACAGCTGCCTGTTTTCATCCGTCAGTTCGGAGATTGAATTTTTATAAGAACACAGTTCCTTCTTCATAGTACACAATTCCTCGTGAAATGTTTGCAAGCGTTTCTCCAATTCCCTGTTATCGTTCAACAGCCTTTCACTGTCCTTACGAGTGTTGCAAAGCTCGCCTTCCAGCTCTTTGTAACGATTTTGAAGGTCAGAGTAATTATCTTTGCTACGTTCCGCTTCCGATTGCCAGTGATTGATGTCGTCTTGCAGCTTTTGTAAGCAGTGAGTAACGTCTTCCAGCTCGGATTTCTGGGCAATGATTTTGGCCTTGTATCGAGACAGCTCTTGGTTTTGACAGTCTTGCGTTTCCTTGAGTTTGCGCATCTTCTCCTCCGCGCACCGTTTCGACTTGGACAAACATTCCACCTTGGCCTCCAGGGTTTCGTTTTTGGCTTCCAGGTCGGCGATTTGCGTCGTGAGACAGAGTTCGTCGTCGCGGGAACCTTCCATTTCTTGGGAAAGGGCGTCGTGACTGGACCTGAGGGAAGCGAGGTTCATTTGAAGCACGCGTTTTTCTTCCTTGACGTCTGACAGTTTCCGGCGCATTTCGCGGACTTCCGTTTTGAGGGTCTCTATTTGACGAGCGGTTTGTTGCGTGTCGCCGGGATGGATACATGAATTTGAAAGGGGGTCTTCCGCACACGTGCAGCATCTGCGTGGGAAAAAAAAAGAAAGAAGGGGAACACGTCGAGGTTGAATTGAAAGCCATCAACTAAATTTTGCCGAGTCTACGGTCGAAATGCTGATTTTGTGATTCATCGGGTAATAACTTCTCGGAGGAGGTTACTTTTCAAGGGGTTTTTTTTAAATAGGGGTTCTTCATTCAAAAACCATTAGGCAAGAAATGTGGCTGTCAGCAGTTATTAATAATATTTAAGGTACAGTACTGTATTTCAATTTTTTTCCTTGTTTCTGGGTTTATTAATTGATGAATTTTTAGTACTGCATCTTGTGTGAATCATAAATTCATTTTCACAGTTAGTCCCTTCTTAACAAAAGATCCGCATAACAAAATCCTCATCATGATAAATGATAATTAGGAAAGAAGGACTCGCAGGAAAAAAAATGTTTTACGCAACACAGTTGGTGGGCCAAAAATGCTTAAATTTAGAAAACTTTCAAATTAAACTTGAGAATTTTTTGAAAAATTGAGGGACACAATAGGACTAACATTTGTGAAATTCAGAAAGGTCGGAGCACAAACTTGTCTAGATTACTTAAATTCTTTACTGATGAAATTTAAATTCACAATTTCATGCCAAAAAATGAAACATTCAAACGATTTATCATGGACATTTTGGTGATGTTTTAAACTAATCAAATAATGTACATTGCAATCTTGGCATTTTGCACTACAACACTTCTGAATAATGAAACAAGTAGGGAATGGATTAGTTTTTTTATGCGAAGACTCGCCCCGTTTTCTTATTTTCTTAATGCATGCATGAGATCAAAGTTGGGTGTTAATCAAGTGTAGGTTGTCCAAATTGAGGTTCGGTCAACTATGACTGACAGATTACCGTAGTTACATTTTAAAGAGGATGCTTATAAGGGCTAGTTCAGGTTAGATAGGTGTTACAGTTGCTAAATGTAAATTCAAAATAGCTGAGTGTTATATTAGGTACGTTAAAATTGCTCATGTGTTAGCTGAAATTTGTTTTTACTCTAAAATCGAAACTGTTGTAACAAAAATGGACTACAGTATGACAGGTCTTAAATGGCATTGCTGTGGATGTAATGCTGGGAGCTTAGAGAACAATTTGTATAATATCGGTCCTGTATAAAAATGTGTTTACCAATTATACAAAGTAAACTATTGGTAAACACATTGCATAATTTCACAGCAGAACCTGGACTCGTTCCCAGGTGAAGATCTCAAACAGCGGGTTTCGTCCAATTCCTTGTGCAGTCTTTCAATGGCTCGATTTTTCTCGTCCAAAAGCCTAGTCATGTTGCAGAGCTCTGCATTTTTCTCCTGCACCAGCCCTTTCAAACGTGTGACTGAACAACTTTTATTCACGGGGCAACTCCTGTTGAGACGCTTCCGGTCATCATTATCATCATCATCGTCGTCGTCACACCGCATCAAAACCGTGCTTTCATGTCTGGGCCTACCGGGACACGGAACACAGCGCCAGTCCTCCTCATCGCTTTCGAATGGATTCAAGTGCAGCGAAGATGCTTCCGGAGACAACCACAAACGCTCGCTGAGATTCGACAAAAACGTGGAAAGCTTGTCAATCTTTGCTTCGAGCTGAACGCAAGACTCTTTCACGGCTCTGTTCTTCGTGGAGTCGCACGACGATCTGTTCCACACTGTTGATGGTGGTTCGATGCACGCGTCGGTTGCGAGGAGGTCTTCGCACTTTGACCTGATCTTTCCAAAGTCCTGCTTGAGCTGACAGACGAGGTCTTCCATCTCTGCGATCTCGTGGCTTTGGTGATGGAGCAATGATTGGTTGCATGAGACGGTGTGAACACTGGCGGGATTTGACCGGTTGCAGCATGAGAGCCTCGATTTGAAGGTTTTTAATGCTTGTTTTAGGGCTCGGTTTTCAGTGCAGGACTGGGGATGTGGAGTCATGGAAGGGGGGGGGGGGGATGAAGTCATGATCAGTTTTGCGATTTTACTGGTGGGTTTCGTTTTTCGGGTCGCGCGAGGTTGTGATTTATACATAGATGTCACTCGTATCTGTGTTACTGCACTCGATTAGAACGCGGAGTGCCGCTTTGTAAGACGACCGCAGATATGCAGTACCATGAGCCCATCTGTGATCATCTATCATTCTATTCTATTTAATCCGTCAAGAAATAGTCGAAAAATATATTCAGCATGCGGATTGTACAGTGAAGTACCATATGTACCCGTGCAAAAAAAAATAAAATTGGGCAACAAATTATAATAGGTGCGTATCATTTTTAGGTAGTTAAGTTCAAGTGACATTTTTTTGACAAACTTTCTCCCCACTTTCAAGGATTTTTAGAGTCCTCTATTTTAATATGTCACCCTTGAGAATTATTTTAATGTGGGCTTCAATTTAGAGTTTTATCCAACTCCGTTTTTCAATTACAAATTTTGTAGCTGAAAACTAAGGTGCTTGTCTAATATGGGAATACAATTTCCCCCAACATTTTAGCAAAAAATCTATGGGGCGCATCTTGCTCAAGGGTGTTTGTTACTTGAATGAATATGGTACGTTACACTGGTTCCTATGATCACTTGTATGCAGACTGTGTGAATCACTTTGGAAAACATTTAATGATGAAATATATTTAAAATATCTGTATGCATGCTGCAGTCCAAGAATTGGAACCACTTTTTGGAGAAATTCGGTGGCCCATGCTGTAGCCTGAAGCAAGAATTGGGATGGGGGTCTTATGCAGGGTTACATTTTTGGGCAAATTGCATGTTAAAAACTCAAGTGCACATCTCTTTAAAATGATGGTGAATATCCTTTCATGGTCAGGTGTCCATTGATTCTGTGCATTTTTGTGTTTCTGGAGCAAGTCTTTAGAGAACTGATGTTTGAGAATCTTCTGTGTGAAGTATCTCTGGTCAGCATTAAGACTTGAGGCGACATCTGTCTGACCTCTTACGTTGAAAACTGCGATAAAATTTAAACAAACGAAAAACCCAATTTACCTTGCTCAAGTTTCGGCTGACTGAGTAACAAGATTCATCATGCCTTGCTCTTCTTTTCCCGTCCTGATTGATCTTACAAGTGCAGGGATTAAGATATTCGAGGATTTCATTCAATGCCGAAGTCACTTCCTCGTCGTCCACCACTGCTGCTGGGAACCCGCATTCGGGATCCGTTTGAGTTGTGGTATCTCTGTTGCAAACTGTTGCACAGGTTCTCGCTGGACAACAGTCCTTGTTCATGCGAGCTTCTTTCGCGTTGAGGTATTCTAATTGTTCCACCAGAGACTTGACGTGACCTTCGAGTTCCGCAATCCTCGTGTCCTTGTCTTCTTCGAAAAATGTCGAGCTTTTGGGGCATTGTGACATTGACACTCCGCCTGCACCGGTGCGGTTTTGTCCGTTGAGATTTGTGGAGGACCTTTCTTTTGTTTGGCTGAATGGCGCTGTTCCTGGTGCAGAAGTTCATATTAAAAATAATATTAAGTGTTTTAAATATCTGAGAGTGAGTATTTAATCTGCGAAGTGTTAAAAGGGGTAACAGCCTTTGCATCATTGGCAATAAGAATATGTAAAACAATTATGCGCCAGAATTTGTTCATCAGTTTTGAGCTATATCTAAATTGAGAACTCAACGTTGAATTTACTGATTAGCCTTTTGAATACAGTAGTTCCCTATATTTTCTACCCTGAATGGGTTGGATTTTTGACTGTTCGTGTGATTGAACTCACTGATTGATTGATCAGTGTCACTGACATCAAGAACCCCTTGTTCCGCAGAGGAAAGTTTTGCCAGTACTGCCTTGTTCTGTTCCTCAAGATCATTGATCCAGGTGTCTATGATGGTGTTGCGGATTTCCAGGGTGCGTTCTGACATCTCTGGAACAGAAATATTGTCTTAAGATTTTTCTTCTGTCAATGCGATGTGTAATGCTCAAGGTTCAAATTATTCTTTTTTAGAGGCTGGAATTACAACTGTAGGCCCTCTGCTTGCAGTTGTATCTTCCATGAAAGCTATTCAAAGACACTTGACTTTGTAACCACTGCTTCTTTTGATTTGAAATGCATAGATAAGTGTTACAGTATTTGCATTTTAACCTGATCAAATAACCACCTTTGTGAACTGAACACATTTTATGTGAAGTATGCGAGACAAATTTATCCTTTTTTATTAAGAATTGAGAGCACAGACCAGCTGGAGCACCTGCTGCTAGGGATAAATAAAAAAAAATTCCCAGTTTGATCATTTTTTTTTCCATTTGGGTGCAACAGAAGCAAGTTTATGCATGCCTCCCATCAGCAACCTTCTGGTAGTGTATGAAAGATTTATATTTTTTTTATACTTCTCAAGAAAAAAATTATAACGAATTTAATTACTGTATGTGTTTCTCAAAAGGAAGTTTGCACTAACATGAATTGAGCTGAAATACAGCGCAAACCAAATATATCGTTCTGTACATTCCACGTATTTAAGTAAGCTACTTTGTTTGCCTTCAACTATAACTGATTACCCAGAATGATGTTCACAGCTACTGTATCAGATAGTTTATCAGCCATATTCTTAATGAGCCATCCATGAAACTTCTGCCGATTCCCGACTTTCCTAGGATTGATATGTGGAGCATGTTCCATCATTTCGGCGAAGGAGTGTGGGAGTTGTGGACAACTAGAGTATCGAAATATAATTAAGCCACCTAGAGCTTATTACAGCATTAAGTATTTCGATGCCTGAATGGTCATGGAAAGTTCACCTTAATCAAAAATTGGTGCATTGTGCATACATTATCTAGTCAAACCACAAGAAAGATAAGGTTACTTTTGGAGTGACATCTAGGATGACGCATTAGTACTGTTCAGAATTTGGGCTTCGTGTTTTCCTTGAATTCAACATTATGAAGGCGCTTCAATACCTGTCCTTTCTAGGCCATTTGTCCCTGCTGTCTTGCATAGCTGTGTTTCGGGTTTCGAATTGCTGCGATTCCCAATAGACGCGGATGGATTTGTTGAGTGTTTAAGTGCTTGTGAGGGCTTGCCAATGTTTTTATGAAAACTTTTTGCACCTGTGTCAAGTGACCGTCGAGGGTTTGAAGTGGACGATCTCTGCATGTTGGCGACCGGGTGTGGAATTCAGGAATTCACGCCCTTCTTGGGGTTTTATTCCTGGTCGGAACTGTGCAAGGAAGAGACGGAAGATCGCGAACATCTAGTTAGGAAAGTGAAGGTTAAAAGGTGTCGGGGTGAGTCTGCAAGGCGTATTTCTCGACACAGGGTCGTTCCGAATCGGAATATTTTTCATCAGTCGCACCCTTCATCGGCCTCGTTGTTCGTGAGACTGCGAACTAATGCCGTTCGCAAATGTTTCTTCTCTTATGGGCTAAGTTTAGAACACGGTGTAGAATTCGTGATCGTTGGTGATAAATAGTGTCTGTAGGGTGTGGCTTCTTACACTGATGGACAAGTTACGAAGAGTCCTCGCCGGCCACGAAGATGACGACGAAGAGCGAGGCCTGACGGCGGAGGTATGATCTTCCATGTGATGCGATTTTTTAAAAGAATGTGATCATTTCAATCATGCGCTTGGCCTTGTGTACCCAATGTAGAAAAGTCTGCCGAACAGAATCATCTGGTTTTCGATTTACTTTTTTCGCAGCAGTTTGCACCGTACATTCCGTTCGCATTTAGTTTTTGAGTTTTGATATGGAAAAAGTGAAGAATTTTTTTCGTGGCGATAGCGTCGAGAGTTCTGAAGCTCCCGTCGAGAGCCAGGTATACCGCCGTTTTCTGGATGAAAATTCTCAAGCGTATCTGCATTTCATTCCAACGCGTTTTCACAGATAATGGACGGAATGAGCTGGAGTTGGAGCACTCGGGTCAAAGGATTTATCGCTTGTTTTGCCCTTGGTTGGGTCTTCACTTTTCTCGGAACATTTTGTCTGTGGCTGCCGTTGCACAACAGTCTCGTGGCCTTCGCAGTCTTCTTCACCTTTGGAAACATAGTTTCTGTTTTCAGCACGTTTTTTCTCATGGGCCCGATGAAACAGTTGAAGAAAATGGCGGAGGAAACCCGTATAATCGCCACTGCTGTTATGGTACTGTCTGTGCTCCTCACCTTGCTTGCTGCATTTCATGTGAGTGATATATGTATTCCCTTAACGGTTATTATTTCGTTGCGATGGTGATTATTTTTTAGCTCGATGTTGTTCATGTAAATGTGTTGTGTGAGGTGTTATTAATCGCAAGACTCCGTAGGTCGAATCAGATCGTGTGGTATGACTTTCTTGTCGGACGAAGCGAAGTTTCCGAAGTACCGTACGACAAACCTGAAGCCCTTCGCAAAATAAAGACGATGATCGATTGCAAATTTCGAAATACATTTTTTTTTGCTGGGACCCTATGGGTCGTAATATATTTGGGTATTCCCAAATCAAATTTATCCAATGAATTCCGAATATTTCCGAGCTTCTCTTTTCTTATAAATATTGAGATAGCATTAACGACGGATCCTGCTTCAAGGCATAGGCTTTTGCTGGAAAAGTGAGAACGGCGATTGACAACGTTTAGATTAATATTGTGAATGCTTCCGGATACCGATACATTATTGTTCGTTTTCGGAGAACCTGAAGCACGCCATACGATCTGTTAGTGATGTAGTGTAGTTCAAAATTTGAATGCGGTCACTCAATTTCTGATTTTTAAAATCTATTTTACAGTGGAAGAAACGGGCCCTTTGTCTCTTGTTCGTCATCATGCAATTTTGTGCGATGCTGTGGTATTCGTTATCATTCATCCCGTATGCACGAAATGCCGTGAAAAGTTGCTTGTCGGGAATTCTTGGGTGAAACCGACGTTTCAGTCGTCCGCTTCCAGTGGAATGATGGATTCCGTTCTCTTGTAAAAGGCGTACGTCTGTGATCGTTGCACCGAAAAACCTGAAAACAGCTTCTGTGCCTTCGTTGTTGATTTCGTTCGAGCTGCCTGGCGATACCCGTGAAACAATATATTATGACGGTATCCTGTAATCCCGATCTTCCCTGTTCGAGTGAACTGTTCGCCAATTCTGAAGGGAATGCTCCCCGAACAAATTCATCAGAATCCGTGCCTTCGAGAGCTTCGTTTGTATAATCACCTCCGCGATGATAAATATGATCGATTGACTCTTGCTTTCAAAATATTTTCCGTATTCGGCAAGATGTTATTTTACTGGACCCATTGTTGAATCTTGGATGGTGTCTCATATGGATGAATACATTTTATGTCATTGTTAAAAAGGGTTGCAGATCATTTCCATTCTTGTGAAACTGCACGATATTTTCATTAGTTATTTTGTGGCCCTGCAGGAGTTCGGTTTGTGAGACAAGAATCGGTCAGAATGACGGACGCAGGGTTCTTCAGGGTAAGGCCTTTTTTGGAATTTCGTTGTTGGTACAATAGTTGATTTTTGTTTAATTTCTCAGGGAACTTCGTCCGACCAGGATAATAGGTTCAGTGACAAAGAGAAGAAGCTGTTGAAGCAAATGAAATTCGCTGAAGTCTTGTCCAAAAAAGTGGACATGTCGAAGGTGAAGTTGGACGTCGTGAAGCCGTGGATTACTTCTCGCATAACTGAATTGCTGGGTAGCGAGGATGAAGTCGTCGTTAGTTATATTTTTAACCAACTTGAAGAAAAGGTACGTTTCCTTTTATGTCTAACGAAAATTTACGTTTTGCGATTTTGAAGTGTGACGATTCCAGAGTGATTCAGAAGATTCTAGTTATTTTACTTCAAAATTAGTATTCCGGTAATACGTCAGTGCTCGCAAGACCAACTTCCACACTGAAAAAATTATATAGCAGAGAAGAATTTTCATCAGAGAAGACTGTTGGAAACGATGTATCAGGGAAGACGCCGTGGAATGCTCCGTCAGATTTGCACTTGATTCCCATTTCTTTTGATTTTATTTAACTTTTACTTTAAATGCACTCAGTTGCTGATTCGGGTGTTGTGAAATGAGGTGATGAGATTTTTATGATTATTTTAATAAGTGCTCATATTATGAAGCAGCATTTCTCAATTAAGTATGGGACCCCACCGCTTAAAATGAGCTCTTGTGCATTCAAATCACGGAAAAAAAAAGATTTATTTTCACTAATGACTTTCTTTTAAACATCATTTGCAGCTTCCGGATCCGAGATTGATGCAGATTAACGTCACTGGTTTTCTCAACGGTCGGAACGCTCGACTCTTCATGGAAGAGCTGTGGACTCATTTGGTGAATGCAGCAGAGAGTCCGACAGGAATCCCTGAAGCGTTCATGGAGATGAAACGACAAGAGCTCAAAAAGCGCAATGAAGAAGCCGAACGGGTCAGGGAAGCCGTGAAGAACGCGGAGCGTGAAATGGTGCGCCGGGAGTCTCGCTTTAATGCCCAAGAAGAAAGTGCACCCAAGAAATCTTGGGCGGATTCTGAAAATTCCAGGACTGAGCGCCCGTCGCGAGAGGACCGAAGACCCAGGTCCCGATCTTCTTCACCCGGGTACAGGTCCCGTAAAAGTAACGAAAATCCGAGAAATAGGTGAGTGAACTGTGTACTCTATTTCTTTCTCTTTTTTTGCTTCATTCCGTTTCCCCCTCATTTTTGGTCGCTGATGCGAACTTCCATCGAAGAATTGATATACAGTACTGTAGTCACGTATTAAATAAGTAATGTTGGCCGTAACTGAGGAACTCGCCGAAGATAAACAAATGTCACCACTGAAAGACTTCGCCATTGTGTCCGTAATCACGATTAACTAACTGTTCTCGTACCGGCATTCTTGAGTTTCGGACGTCCTGCAGGTGTCGCTGCAATCTTTAACCAGGCCAGGCATCACCAACTTTAACTGAGCGAGACTAATGCAAGGAGACATAATATTAATTACCGTATTAACTCGTCAAGGTCAACTATCTTGATGCGCAACTTTCTAGGCCTGAGAAACTTGTGCGCTGGCTATCAAATTTTTTAGTTACAGTATCAATAGTAATCACGTGATTTATCTTTACCCTACAATTTGAATTATAATCAAGCTGAGACCTGAGCGAAATTTGTGTTTTTCGTTGCACTGCTTTGTATGAAAATTGTTCAACACATTTTCGTGGTCCACGTTCTTGAATACATGGGAGCCAGCATTTTGAATCAAGTGAGAAAGGGATCGTGAGTCGAAGGCTTGTTATCTTCCACGAACCTTTAACTGAGACACCTTTTTTATTTTCTTGTAGTGATAGAGAAAGGAAAGAACGTCGTCGGTTTGTTGAAGCAGATCAAGAAGAAAGCAGCAGCGTACCGGCGACTAATGGACAAGTTGAAGTTCCTGAGCCCGTAGTTGTCAAGGAAGAAGTGAAGGATGTAGAAAAACCTGACTTCGAGGATATGTTGGAGTAAGTTGTTTCTTTTTTGTTTTTAATGCGCAGGAAGTTGGAGATTTTCATTTTCTTGCCTCGGGAATCGCATTTTTAAATTCCTCTCACCTTTTCCTCCTTCGCACATCATCAAAAGGTAGGAGGCATTGAATTCTTTTGCTGAAAATTTATTTTTGGTCTGAATTTCTTCAATGGAGAGAAATTCTAAAGCTGGGATACGTGTCTTGAAATGCATAGTTAATTGACTGATGGACTTGATGCATTCCAGTTGGAAATCTGTTGTAGAAGACTGAAGTACAGTATCCGAGAAATTTAAAGCTTGCTAAATTTGTTTTTGTCAATTTGCTTTCAAACTATATGTCATGTAACTAAATATTGTGAAGCTTTGTAGAAATTCCGATTCGTTTTCAATTTTGAATGAATACCCTCATTCACGCGAATATTGAGGCATGTTTTATTTTTGAAAATATTGCTGCCTGAAATTGAACAAAATCTTGAGAAGACGAATCCTGAAATACTGTATCGTCAAATAACTACTAGAAAGAAGAAAATTATGTCGAGCGCAGTCAAAAATGAAAATAAGGTAATAAGTTATTATTGATTTGAACCTTTCCCGAAGCAAATTAACATTTTGAACACGAGAAACCTCCTGAAATTCGTTATCTTGAACTTGAATTGTTCGTCTTCGATTTCATTATGCCTCTCTTTTATCCTGTGCACCACTTTAGACATCTGCCCAAACTTCGTCGATTTAGATGGATTTCCAAAGGCTCATCCAGGCTAAAAAAATGTGTCATTTCCCGTTTCAGTGTAAATAAACCGGTGTTGAGTCACGGTCTGGCTCCTCCTTCGCCTTGTGCGTCTCCGCCTTTGGAAGCGAATCCTGCCATTCCGGATGGAGTACAAAAGAAAAGGATAGACGATGGAAATGAAGTTGTCAAAGAGGAAAGGTGAGTTTGCTTTATGCGCTAATGTTTTTTTTTAATGGCCGACATTTTCCCAGAGAAAGGTTGAGATCCTATTCACCTGAGTCGCAATTGAGTTCTTCGTCCTACGTTTGGCTGATTCGCAATTCTCTGGCAACTTGATGAATTAAATTTCAAACCTGGTACCACAAAAATCGTCCTACGTTTTTATCGAGTCGGATACGTTTTGACTACAGTAGCTTCAATAATTGTGAAACGTTTATCTGTGCCTCTGATGTGTAAATGTATTCCTGTCGGAATTTTCTGCGTTGTTTCTCTGAGAATAATTCACTCCTCCGAATTTTGATACCCTTGAAAAAGTCGGGATTTTTTGAATTTTATGCGGGATGTAGAAAGTTGTGGTCTAATTTTATAATTGCAAAATTCTGAGAAATCATAATGCTGAGAAAATTACTTTTAACGCTTTTGTAATCAAATGCATCTCCTCAACGCTCGTTCAATTTTCATTTTGCGATGTTTAAATTGGACTCAACGCTTATTGCTTGACCTTTCAAGAAGAACTTCGCCGTTATTCCGTCTTGGAAATGTATTTAGCGGTATATTCAAATTTTTGTTTGTTTGTTAGGAAATCAAGATCCCGTTCCTCGTCACCTTCACCGAAGAAATCCTCATCGAGGCCCAAGCGGCACTACCGTGACACAAATCAGAAGGCGTCTCGATCCAGGTCCAGATCTAAATCGCCGCCATCGAACGGCAAACGTGCTGTGAGTCGTTCCCCAGCTCGGCGTTCGAGGTCCAGGTCACCGAGACGTTCTAGGTCTCGAGCGTCCAACAGAAGGAGTAGGTCTCCTGTTTCGAACCGCAGGTCACCTTTGGCTAATCGGAGGAGTCGATCTCCTGTGTTCAGACGCCGCTCCAGGTCCCCAGTGTCGAGGAGACGGACCAGATCTCCTGCCCGGAACCGCAGTCCGGTATGTTCTCCGTATTTTTCTGAAAACCAATTTCCATTAATGTGTTGGTTTTTTATCTGGCTTTTCTAATTGCTTCATGGAATCCGAAGAAAATTCATCGTATTAATTTCACGCTTATTTTCAGTAATAAAATGGTTCATTTTTTGTGAGCGCTCGAACCTCAGCATAAATCACTTTAAATGAAAGCCACGCGTGGATGAAAGTACTGTATTCAAAAGGATGTCTGTGTTTTTTCGTTTCCCTTCACTTATTCGCAAAATTCTGCAGATAATTTTTGTCTGTATGTGGATCTTGTACCGTAATGATTCGTCGACCGTATCTGATGATCTAATTGAAGTAACTGGGAAGTTCCCTAGTCCCCTGCTGAATATTTTTTCTGCCCCAACGAAACAATTCGTATATTTATGTCGGGAAATTCGCGATAATCGCTTGAATACTGTACTTCGATTTTCAAATGACTACTTTTTTTTTCTTCACATCAGGACCGTCGTCGGCGGTCTCGCTCCCGATCTCGAGACCGCGAGCACCGCCGCCGCGTGGAGCTAGAGCGAGAGCGTCGCGAACAGGAGCGCCGGGAACGCGAAAATGAGCGCCGGAAGCGGGAGAAGGAGCGCGAGCGGGAGCGGATCCGTCGCCGGGAGCAAGAAGAGGCGGAGCAGAGGGAGCGTGAGAGGGAGCGCGAGCGCGAGAGGGAGCGGGAGCGAAGGCGTCGCGAACAGGAAGAGCGAGAAGAGGAGCGGCGACGAGCAGAAGAGGAGCAGCAACGGGCCGAAGCTGAGCGACTCAGGAAATTGCGCGAAGCTGAAGAGAACGCCAAGAAATCTCGGCAACGATCTCATTCGCCGTCTTCGTGAGTATTACAATACGGTAGTAAAGTGGTACAGTATTGGCAAAGATGAGTTTTCCATGTTAAATATTACAGTATGTTGTTCGATGAGGTTTCTTTGAAGCTTTTGACGTTATTGTTGTTGCAGTCAGATCATACAGTATCTGCTGAAACTCTTTTCAGCAACTTGCTTTCTGTCCCGACGACGCTGTATTTCTTATTTGAACGGAAATATTTCGAAGTTGAGGAGAACCGCAAGGATCTCATTTTGCCCACCCTGTAGCAAAAAAAAAAAAGAGAACAAATGGGGTATCGTATGTCGATTTGCCTGTATGATTGTGAGTTTATCAAACTTCTAGCGAATAGACTGAAAGTGAACGTTGCATTCAAAACATGTGTAGGGAATTTGTGTGTTAGAGTATTGCAAATTTTTACAGTACAGTATTTAAAAGTTCGTGAAGCCAAAGCTCTTATAGCTTGTACGTACTTATTTGATTTAGTGAAAATGTTTCCAAAATTCTGAAAATTGCACTGGACGTTGAGAACATTTCAAAACAATAGAAATTACGGCATTCAAAAATATTATTCCAAAACTGAAATTAAGCGGTGTGAAATTCATCATACAGTGATTTTCGATCATCCAATGTTGATCGAGATGTTTCTGAAAATTTTAAAATATATTATAAAGCCCAGATTTCCGTAGGGTATCCCTCAATTTATTCAATTTATGATCAAATTATTGATTATTCCATAATGTATCCCTCACCTTATGCATGTCTCAAATTATTTCTCATCAAATATCTTCATCGGTTCAGATTGAAATGTAATTTTTTAATAAATCGCCAAGTAATGCAGTACTGATACCGGATACCGCGTTCATTTTTGCCTGCAATGCAAATACGTGCGATGTGTACGCAAAGAAGTATCGTGGCTTGCTTTGGACACGTTAGACGAGTACCGGCCGATTAAACTGAGCAACGTTTTTGTTTACAGCGATATTCTTGATACAGAAATTCTTGCGGCATGGAGCTGACCCTCTATCAAAGCTACTTGGGGTGTATAGCAGGTTCATCGTTGTTGCAATGCAAATCCTGATGATTGAAAGAATATATTTGTTTTTCAAGGATTCATAGCTCGGACGACGAATTTGAAGAAGCTCAAGTAAAGTCCCGGAAGAGACCGAAAAAACCCGAGCGTTCCCCGCCTGGATCTTCTGAAGGGTCGCATTCATCATCATCCTCGTCATCCTCTGAAACCGATTCCGATTCCAGCGGCTCAGTCCCACGGAAAAAGAGTCGCAAGACGAAAAAGCGGAAAGACGGCAAGCGTAAAAAGAAGGCGAAGGACGAAGACGACGACAAGAGGAAGAAGAAATCGTCGAAGAAGAAGAAGAAGAAGAAGGGCAAGAAAAGTAGCAAGAGCCGTGGCGACAAAAAGCAGCCTAGTTTGAACGAAGAAACTGCTGATCCGGACGAGATGGAGCGCATTTTGCGGGAACGCGCTTTGCAGAGCATGAAGAATGGAAGACAAGCCAACAAGGCCAGACAAGAGAGCGGAAGCGACTTCAGCGATGATTGAAGGATTTAATTTCGTATCATTTTTTTTTCTGCTCTGGTTTATATCGGTCGGGCATCAGCAAGTGGCAAGAGATTGCCGTTTGTGATTTCGCGATGATGTCGAGTCCAGGTTTTTCTATTCAAGGCAATGATTTTTTTTCTTGTTGGATATCCAGAGAAATTGCGTTGTTTCTAGCGATATTGTGCGTCTTCTTGTACGATCGCGAAGTATCTTTTTTTTGTTTGTTGAGCTCTTTGTTCTTGAATTTTATGTCGGGTAAAAGGATCAATTATCTTCAATTGCTCGCGACTGGGGCGCCTTGTATCCGAAGAATGTGTGGATGTTCGTGCAATGAAGTTGACGAGAAGAATTGGTTCAATCTTGATTTCCCCGCAAGTAGTTTCCTTCTTATTTTGATCGCCTTTTTTTCAGGAAGTACAATTTTATGTGAGGATGTCTCAAATGTGTCATATTATTTTACAGTTTATGTGAGGTGATATGAGTTGCATGTATTGTAGTTCCAATGTACGATGTTTCTAGTGTTCAAGAGAAATACTGTATTGTGTACTATTGATAAGACTCATCTATGCATGATAAGTGATTTTTTTTCTCGTGAATGGTAAACAGTACAGGTGGATTCTCACTAAAACTGCATAACAAATTTATCTTGGTCTCATATGGTTCTCGACCGATTAACTTCGGGCAATCTGCAACACTTATTTTTTATGGTCCACTAAATGTTGTTGAGAGTGGACCTACATTTTATGCACCATAAAATGTTTATGTGGAGCAAATGATTATCTATGAACCAGGAAATTATGGAATATGTGTAGATGCCGGCCATGTGCATCGTTTGAAGAAGAGAGACAAAACTTCTGAAATTATGGATTTGGCCTTCAATATTTACTGTGCTCTCCCGGTTCATTATCGCGTCCATTCACGTCCATACCTTAATTGCTTCTATGCATCAAGTCTGATGCTGTGTGAAAATTTGATGATGAATACAGTACTGTAGTTGAAATTCCATTCAACACATGACATAACATATTTTGTGTTCAAATTGAGATGCGAACCATGTCCCCCATCCAAGGCGTATTTCAAGATAACGTATTATTTAGAAGCAGTGCGCTGTCATCGATTTAATGTAATTTACGGCTTAAGTCATCTTTACCATGTAACTCTTCCTAATTTTGAAGCTGTTACACATTAAAGACCGAAAACAGTTAATCCGCAGTTCCGCACACCATTTACATCGGTATGGTTGCGATGTTTACATGGCATGGTAGTGTACATCAATCTGCTTAGCGGCATCACCCACAAACCCCATTGCCAGGTGTTACTGAAATCCTGGCGCGTGTGGATTGTTCACTTGCACGTTTACGAGACAGTCGGTGAGATGTGGCGATATTTTGTTGATTTTTGGGACTGTTTTCATTTGACTCAAGAACGTTGAGTTAATGCTTGAAATTCCAGGATGCTCACGAAGTTACCAAGTGGTTCAGTCTGACGTGCGCTGACATTTGATACTATGGCGACCGCATCCGAAGATAGTGATTTTGATTGCTGGCTTTCTCAAAAATTCCAAGCTCTAAATACGGATGATTCTGTGATCGTACCCTACGTTAAAAGCATACTGGAGGGCGAGGAGGAGGATGAATCGGAAAAGCACGAAGCGCTCGTTGGCATCCTCTCTGAAATATCGGTAGGATATGAATGGCGACGTTACAATTCACGTGTTGCTTATGATTCCTAAACTTTATAAAGGTGGACGATGTGGAGGGTCTGTGCCAAGAACTTATTCTACGCTGGAATGCATTCGTGAACATCGGTGGTAAGCGAATGAAAACAGTCGCACCTTTCAGTGAGTGTCGAATTATGTGGTTTTTTTCTTAGGTTCATCCGAACATCCGCCTGATACATCCGTTCAGTCTTCTGTTCCGTCGCATTTAGAAGACCGAATTGCTCAAATAATGATACAAAAAGCTGACGAGTCTGTTAAAGTGAAGGTGCCGTTATCGAATGGATCGTCTGAAGTGAAGCAGGCAATCTTATCCCAGTATAGTGAGGTGTGAAATGTGAAGCATTTCTGAGCGCTTTCGGCGCATTAGAAGAAGTACAACAGCCATTACCAATTGTTGTTTCACTTGGTTTTTTTTAAAGTTAATACACAGGGCTTTGATACTGTACTTATTTTCCGTTTTTCTTTTTCGATTAATGTATGTCGTGTTTCTGGGGGTACATCGACACAATTCCATTTTCACGTCATGAATTCTTCGTGAAAAATGAAAACTCTCGTTTGGAGCATTGAAAACTTTATTGAATGTTGTTTGTTTGATTGAACGTAAAGTTTGAAGTGACTTGTATTTTTGATACATATTTAAATTAGCGGTAAATTTCTGTGAGGCATTACTGATGCGAAGAGGCGTCTCTCCAGCTTACCTAAGTGTTTTACAGGCACTTGAAAAATCAAAGCTGAATGATCATTTGTACAGTACTTTTAGCCCTTCTCACCTTTTATGTGCTATTCTCGTTAATTGCTCGTCAGGGTGAATTAAAATTTCGACTGTTTGATTGATCGGAATTATTAATTCCTGCGAAGGTTTGTGATGTGGAGACAGATGACGAAGAGGAAGACGATCACGACTCATCGCATGGGGCGAAGAACTCGGCCGTTGGTGGTCATCCAAAAGGTTCCAAACATCAAGACAAGCTGCCAAGTTCGTTACTAGATGAGTACTTCTTGTGGTTACGGCTTTGACACTACTTCCGTCTCGCGCTTTTTGCACTTTGAGTCTTCCGACTTCGACTCTTCTTCGCTGTCGTCCTATTTAACTTGTCCACTGTTTTCAACTGTTAAAGTCGTGATTGTGCACAGAGAATCACTAAAAATATTTTTTAGGGAAAAACAAAAACAAGCCGCGGAAGAAAGAAAAGACAAAGAGAAGAAACGAACTCAAAAGGGTGAACGTCGGCGATGAAACATTTTTGGGTGCTCTACTGTTGGCACCAAAAAAACCAGCTTCTTCCCTCTTAACGTCTGTAGTACACAAAAAAGGCTTAAAGCGACTTACATGTTTAGACTATAAAACCTTAACGTACGACGTATCACCATAAAAGCACTAGAAAGCTTTACAAAAAAACCCCGATGAGAAAAGTAATTTGACAACTTGATACATTCTATCTCTTCGGAAATATTTTATTTAGTTTTCTCCAGTGAATTCTTCTGTGGCTTTGAAGTGGAGTTCGGAAAATTTTTCCTCGATAAATGCTCTCCATTCAATGAATATAGTATTCGAACGAAATCTCACGATAATACACACACACACACGTGCGTGACGTACGATTAACAATTTTTTAAATGGAAAATCGAGTGATTTTCGGAGGGGTGGCTTGCTAGTTTCTCGCTTTTCTTCAGCGTACATTCCTACAAAAAATTCTGACCCATCCATCAAATATTTCAAGCGTCGAAAAAAAAAACTATAATAATACTGATTCAATTCATTGACATTCCCTTGCCCTTGAATCTTGACGGAAAACCTGTCAAATATCTCGTGAAAACAATGCCACTGCCGAGAGTTGCTCAATCATGTTAGTCCAGCTAAAATGTTATAACTGTAGTTTAAAAAATCGGAGCTCGATTCATCAAGTATGTATCTTTCTCTATGCTCTCAGCATTTTCTGTGTGACGCGACGAAGAAACTGTGATTCCCCTAAGTTTTCCGTGCGACATGTTATCAGTGAGTGATCAACTTGTTCCGCCAGTCAATGTCACGAATGATCTTGAGGAAACCCTCCTGAGGGCTGCACGAAGTGATGATTTGGAAACGCTGCAAGAATTGTTGAATTCCCGTAGCTCGGAAAAAATACAGCTCAACATAAATTGCAAAGGTATTCCCAAAATGAGAGATTCTTCTTAGAGTTTTACTTCATCACGAAATTCGTTTCAGGGAAGAAAAAAGGTTTTTTTGGTCGAAGAAGGGAGAATTGCAGACATCATGTGTTTTTTCCGAATTTCGCTGAATGTACAAATCTGATATTTTGGAATTGCATGCTGCATAGTGGTATTTTCGTGATCTTTCGAAATGGAAAAAACCCCGATGAGAAAAGTAATTTGACAACTTGATACATTCTATCTCTTCGGAAATATTTTATTTAGTTTTCTCCAGGGAATTCTTCTGTGGTTTCGAAGTGGAGTTCGGAAAATTTTTCCTCGATAAATGCTCTCCATTCAATGAATATAGTATTCGAACGAAATCTCACGAAAATACACACACACACACGTGCGTGACGTACGATTAAAAAATTTTTAAATGGAACATCGAGTGATTTTCGGAGGGGTGGCTTGCTAGTGTCTCGCTTTTCTTCAGCGTACATTCCTCCAAGAAATTCTGACCCATCCATCGAATATTTCAAGCGTCGAAAAAAAAAACTATAATAATACTGATTCAATTCATTGACATTCCCTTGCCCTTAAATCTTGACTGAAAACCTGTCAAATATCTCGTGAAAACAATGCCACTGCCGAGAGTTGCTCAATCATGTTAGTTCAGCTAAAATGTTATAACTGTAGTTTAAAAAATCGGAGCTCGATTCATCAAGTATGTATCTTTCTCTATGCTCTCAGCATTTTCTGTGTGACGCGACGAAGAAACTGTGATTCCCCTAAGTTTGCCGTGCGACATGTTATCAGTGAGTGATCAACTTGTTCCGCCAGTCAATGTCACGAATGATCTTGAGGAAACCCTCCTGAGGGCTGCACGAAGTGATGATTTGGAAACGCTAGTTCTTAACAACTTAAGGGCATCGAGCCTTTTTTATGTCGAGTTGTATTTAACGTTTCCATAAGGGTTTTACTCTCTAAGAAGAATCTCAAAATGAAGTAGTGCTTTAAGCAAAGTCCCTTCTTTTTAGGAACGAGAGGCTGGACAGCTCTGCATTTAGCATCTTATTTCGGAAACAAATCTGTGATTGAACTTCTGCTGGAAAATGGTGCCGATCCAAATGTCGTGAATGATGATGGGGATACTCCCCTGCACAAAGCTGCGCTCACCTCCAGATTCGTGAGTGTATTTTTTTCTTGTTCTGGTGTTGTTTCCGGAACTGGCCTAATCTGTCATAGAAGAGCTAATACATTGTTTCTGACTTTCAGGAAGTTTTGGAAATACTTCTGCGATCGGATGCAAACGTTTGTGCCATAAATGGAGAAGGAAAATCGGCTGAGGACTTGGCTACTAATCGGGATGCGAAAGATTTGCTTGAACAGTCGCGAAAAGCCGCTGAGGAAATTCGAGAAGGTGTCTTCCTCGCTGCTTGCAAAGACGGCTTTTTGTCTCGAATTGAAGAAATGGTGAGCTTTCGAAGTGTTTGTGCAGTATTTTGAGATTGTGCTAATCTTTAGATGGGGTTTTAGGCATTCCGAAGTGTGTCGATAAATCTTCGTAATGTACATTCCGAAATTTGACCGAAATGCTATATTGAATGTTGATTTTCCGGAGCTTGGATCAACCCCGACCACCTTGGATAGTGTATTTCTCTTCGTACTTTTTCTCGAAGAAATGAGTCGAAGGTGTGAGAATTTTGCTCGATTTTTCAGGAAATTGTGGGAATTGTCCACGTTCTCTGAAACGTTTTTTCCGTACCAAGTCTCAGTTAACTCACGAAAGAAATAAAAAAAAATTGGAAGTTTTTGCATATTGCTCCAGACGGAAATACCCTTATACGATTTTATTCTAAACGATCCTTGGCATAATTTTTGTCTAAATTGAAAAAAAAAAAAAATTTAGGAAAGATCAGATCATACTGAAATTTCCTGATGTCGCTGGCATCGACAGAGGGATGATCAACAGGAAGACACAGATAAATATAAATGGCAAAAAATATTTGTTTTAAATTCCGAACATTTTCTATCCCTTTTTTTTCAGTTGGAGTGTGTGCCAAAAGTGAACATAAATTGCGTGGATCGCCTCGGAAACACGGCTCTTCACAGTGCTGCCTACTTGGACAACAGAGCAGTGGCCATTTGTCTTCTGGAGCACGGAATCGACACGACCATTCGGAACCATCATGGCCACCTTGCCTCCGACATGGCGCTCAATTCTAGCATGAAAGAAATGCTCGGAGTCCCGCCTATCAAGTCTTTGTCTCAGACCCCGTTCAGATATCAGGGCCCGCTTTTCAAGCACCAGCGATTCCGTGGTTGGAAACCATTTTGGGTGCGTTGATACAGTATTGTACTTGTTGATCGTGTGTGAAATTTAAACGAGTCTACAAAAGGATGCGCGTCTGAAAATCATGACCCGAAATAAATTTCTAACCTAGACTAACCTGAAATAATGGAACATGATTTAACTCAGCTTAACTTGGACGACGTGAAATCTGACTTAATTCATGCGACATCGACGGAATTTCAAGAGAAAATGAAGAAGTCCTTGTAATTGCGCGAATTTCTTTTCGTTCGTTGTTCCGCTTGCGAAATTCGAAGTTAGCCGAACTGAGCATTAATTTTTTCCGAATTCGTTTCCAGGTAATCTTGGATCGCGGTGTCTTGAGTTATTACAAAACACCGGGGAATGCCGCAGCTAATTTTCGGCGCCGGTTCCACAAGCATTTGAATTCAGCCGTAGTTTTGAAGGCGCCCGAAGATTTGGGAATGTTCGTGATCCGATTTCCTGACGGAGATCAGCACCGTTTGAGTCTCACCCCGCATTGTACCCAACGTGCCATCGAACGCCAGGTGTGGTTCTTTCAGAGTTGAACTTCATGTTTCGATCATGAGTTTGATCTCTCGTTTATTTATTAATTTTTTAAAGTGTCAGAGGCACATTTTTATCCACGTTTTTGCCTTATGAAAATTCGAGCTCTCCTCAGGAAATCTCTCGATCAATTCGAAAAAAAGTGCGAGTTGTATTTCAGAAGAAAGCATAAAAAAGCATTTTCCGTGTAACAAATTTGTGAAACCAAGAGAAAATTATTAAATTGAGAAGAAGAGATGCATGGAGATGGGATGTACTTCGATCAATGCTATGGCTTAAATTTAATTTGTAATCGTAAGCCATCATGCTTGTGACAACAATTTTGATGATTCATCTCATTTAGTTCATTTCATGAGTTGCCCACCATAGAAGAGGGATAAAAAAAAAAATTCGAATGCTGGTGGATGGAAACAAGTCTCTGTAGTTCCTAATTGGTATAAAACTGGTTCTTCTTGGGGTTATTGAACCTTCGGCGGAACTTGAACTGTTGTTTGTCGGACGTTTAAGTAAGAATGTATCCACTTTTTCGTCAATTTGTTCTCACGTATTTATTTATTTTTTTTTTACGAAGAAATGGATCGCTGTGATTGGAGAGCATGTGACTTTCAGCTCACGAATGCTCAGTGCTACAGTTGAGGAGGACGATGCTGATGACGATACTGAATCCTTGCTATCAGCCGACTTTGCAACAGTGGGAAGGATGAAGAAGAATGTTTCTTTCGTTTATTCCGATCCCCAGACATCGACTCATGTGAAATCCCTGCGCTCAATGAAGGTACCATATTATTAAGAAAACCACTGTTGGGATTCGTTCGAAGCATTTTTTATTTTGGTTTTGGAAAGGACGCTCTGCAAACTGCCGAGGCGTATAAAGAACTTCTCGCTCAGGATTCGGAAATGTTGTCGAATTCCTTCAACCAGCTGCCGATAACTTACCGCCAGGGGGCGTTGTATTCTTTACTTCTGGTGAGATCCGATTTTATTCGAATGTTTTGGTATTCATTAGTGTGTTTGAATTATGTGTATGTGTGTTTTGTTTTTTTAGAAAGTTGACACTGTTCAGCGCACGGCGAAAGACGTCGTCGAATCTCTGAACTATTGTTTGAATCTTTTCCGTCAACAAGAAGACGTGAGTTCCTGTCCTGTTGGAATTATTTCAATATTATTCTTCTGGGATTTATGAAGAAGTTCTGCGTATACGTTTGATACGAACGCACACATTTATAACAGTGATCCTGTCAAAAGCTTGATCTTTAAAATGTAAAAAGTTGTCGTCCGGCTTTAAAGTTAAGCTGGGAATCATGTTTCCGAAGTAAATTTGTATTTGATTGATTTACTATTACTTTTTATGCAGACTTTCATGCGAAGCAAGGTCGAATAGCCTTCACATAATTGATATGAGTTCACTGTAGAGAAAGTCCATTTTGCAAGACGTTCGTTATCCGTGGTTTTCATAGCGGAAAACTGCCAAGAATGTCGATACTTTTCAATCACAAGTGTTTTTCGATTTCCTCTTGAAATATTCAGCTGCGTGTCTTGGAGCTGAAACGAAGCAAGGAAAAGTGTCGGGTTCTGGAAGAAAGCCTGTTGGTCTTGGCTAAGCAACACCGGAACTTGGAGTTGTCTTTGTCCACCGGAGTGAGCCACGAAATTGGAGCGCATCCGTTCAGTGCGGAACTTGGCGGCGGAAGTGAGAAGCGTATCCGGAAGAAGAAGCCGAATTTACGTAAACCGGTTGTTGGTTGGATAGAAACTGAGACTTGTGGCAGCGACGGGGAATTGGTCGACTGTACCGGAATCGATCGTCAGTGAATTTTTTTTTCGCATTTAATTTTTTATTCGTTCTTTGTTTTAAATCTCTCTCTTTCTTATTGCTTTCCATTTTGTTGGTTTTCCTGTGGTTTCTCGTTTACTCTCTTTCTCATTTTGAATCACTGCGTTATAACGGGTCTGATTTTGGTTGTTTTCGTTCAGTGGTGTTTTTATTTTTGGAAGGGAGGATTTTGATGGTGGGATTGAAACCTTTCATGTCATGCCATGTCATGCTTTCTGGTTTTGCAGAAAAAAATATTGAGCTTTTTCATTGTGCTTGTGCAGGTGAAACTTAGAAAGTTGATTCCGTCGAGTCCATATCCTCTCCTGTGTTCCACGTCTTTTTTGTACCCATCCGAATAATTTTTGGCGTAAATGGGAAAACAAACGATTTATGGATAGATGAATATGGACGTCATTTGTGTCTTTTTCTGGCTGCTGTTACTTGGAACAGTTCAATACTGTACACAAAAATTATTGTGAATTGAAAGTAGCCAAAGGGAGGTGGCATGTTAAATAATTTAACTGGTACTTCTGTTGCGATAAAATATTTATTCGATTTGCAAAATTTCCAAATGACGATATCACACATATGGCAACTGTGTTCAAATGAAAGCATTCTTTTAATCTGAAAGTTATATCTTGGTGATACTGATTGCATCTTTGTTCGCCCCGTAATGTCGATTGGTGAGGGAGAAAATTGTCCTTTAATATCCTATAATTGCAGCAAGCAAAAGTTCTTCGCCAATTGGGAGAAGCTTGCTTTACATTTGTTTCTATTGATCGTGAGGTGATAAAAAAATTTAGATTTTTGTATTTTGAGGAAGAACTCCATTCCAAGACACAGTTATAAACTTGAATATTTTGACATAATTCGCTTTTTTGTTTGACTGTCACTGAAGAAATTTTAAAAATTACGGTAATTAGCGTAAATTAAATTCCTAATTTTTTGTCAGATTGTCGTGATTTTTAAGATTAAATAAATGTTCTGCATAGTTCAGTTCGAAAATATAATATGCTTAATTCAGCTGAAGAATAAAATTTTCAACTGAAGTGAAGATTGCTCAGTAAAATGAATTCGTTTCGAGGAGGTGTTTTTCTGTGCCAAATTTCATTGCAGACTTTCTATGGAGGAGATATAATGCCAATTCAATCTTTTTCAGTACATTTTTCATGCTCATTTCGAACTCGACCAGTAATGATCAGCTGTGATAATGTGTGAACATGTTGTATTCAAATATCTGTGATCGTGAAGAAACAAAACGTTACCCTCGTTTATTCCGCGCTTATTTTTTGGGGCTTTCTTTTACACGAGGTGTTTTACGGTGTTGGTTATTTTTACAGCTTGAAATATATTCACTTCATTATACTTCGGTACCGCGTTCTTTCCTGCATGGCTTCGTTTTCCGTCTTATTTTTCCTCAGGTTCCTAGGGTTTCCGGGTTGAATTCCGCCGAGGCCTCGTCCAATATTTTGTTTTATTCATTTTGGTTTCTAGGTCATTTAAATTCTTCGGACTCCGAATACAACACGCCGTATGGGTCCATGAGTGATTTGCGAGCTTCTGCTCCGTCTCCCATGATCCATGTCGGTGAGTTTTTCAATACATTAGGCCCATAATGAGTTGAAAATTTGATTCTGATGTACAATATTTTTATTGACACAGGCGTGACTAGAACGCGTATTGCGGTCCTGGGTGCCGCCGAAGACGAAGCTGTCATGACGATGATCGAGGAAAGATCGGAATACGGAAGGTGAGTCTTCCTGTGATTTATTTTTCTCTTGACGATTTTTTGCGGAAAAAAAAAACTGCAAAAATATTGTCAATTTTGATGCTCTTGGGGCTCTTGATGACGGAAAATATGAGGGATTCCGTTTGAGGGCTTGAGCTGACGCTTGAAAGTTAGAGGGTCATCATCCCTCAGTCTTCCTATACAGTATTAACTTTTTTCGCATCCTGTTTTCCCTTTTTTGTTTTACAAAGAGCTAGCCACTTTGAAATAATGATTGGGGGCGTGCCTTGAAGCTTTCAGTAAAGAAAAATTAAAACCTTTTCCAACATAATACCGTACCTCCTTTCTTTTCAGAAAACTATATGCTCACTGTGAGTGAATATGTAACCTGTTTGAAAAGTTCTTTGATGAAGTATAATTTGAACATATCCTTCATTTAGGATATGAAAAAAGCGGCATCAGTGGAGATTGCTTTGATCAAGCGCGAATAATTTGAAAGCTTTCTTGAGAATGTTTGTGTTTCTCATCAAAAAGCAGTAATGTGTTCTAAATTTACGCTGGTTCGCTGGAAGTAAGTGCATCCAAAGGTAGTCAGACTTCATCCCATGAAATTAATCAAGTGTTCCATTGGCTAGATTGGAACAATGTGGGAAAATGGTACAAATATAATATGAATAGGACTGGGTAAATCTAGATTAAATAAAGCATGGACTTAATCCTATTTGTTCCATTTGCCCAATTGGAATATTATGAGATACCTATACTATAGACCTGTATAATTTTATTTGATTGGATAAATCAAGAGTAAAAAACCGACTTAAGAGGATATTTGACTTAGAGGGGTTTGAGTTATTGAGGATTACCCATGACCTTCACAAGTACTGTATTTACTCAAGTACCGCATGCACCTTTTCTTCAGATTTCAGAAGTAAAAAAGGGTGCGCGTTGTAAGCAGGTACAAATTTTTCAAGAAGTTTTAGGAAGTTATGTGTGCATTATACTTGATTATAATGGAGAAATTTAGAAAAAATGTGAAAAGAAAACTTTTTTGTACTAAAAAAGTTGAAAATTGACCAGATTTTTGTTCAATTCATGTCTACAGTTGATTTTTTGTACTTATTTTCAAAATTTTGTGGTTTTAGATTCACTAAAAATTGGGGTGTGCATCTTACTCAGGGATACAATTTTAGCCAATCCAACTGAAAAACCTCTTACTTGAGGGTGCATGGTACTCAAGTAAAAACAGTAATATTTCAAAGCTTGAGAATTTGAAAAATAAGAAAGTTACTTGAAACCTTCTGAAACTTTCTCGCTCTTCTGAAGCAATTAAATTACCAATAATCTCGATTAAATAGATCACGGTGCAATTTTGCAAAAAAAACGGGATTAATGCAATGTTTCATAGCCTCCATTGGAACAGCATTCTGCAAATAATGTACAGTATAAGATTGCGGATAAATTTAGAACAAGTACAGGGCTGAGCGTTTGGGTTCTATAATCAGGTGCTGGAACAGATAAGCTCGACCTCAAATCCCAGTTTCTCTCCTTTTTCATTCCGAACTAACAGGCGATAAGGAAATGATTGCAGCTGGCTGTTGCTGGCAGGTGTGTTTCATGCTGGAGGGGAAAACCAGTGCCTTTTTGGCCCGCCAAATGTTCCTCTGTCATGCGAATATTCCATTAAAAAAAATTACCGCTCTCGAGGGTTGCCGTGTTTTCCAGAAAATGTTACATCGTAAAAAGTGAATAAATTATTATTCGATGTAGTATCTGAGCGCGTTCACTCCTTGACCGAATTTCGATAACCTTTTCTTTGTGGGAAGAAAAACAATATAGGCCTCAAATAAACTGACACGTTTTTTTTTCGGGAAAAACCGGCCTATGCACATGCTGATAAATTTCTTACATCTTCTAATAATGATAGAAATCATATTTGAAGAAGGTTTTCTGATTGAAACCTCTTTTTTTGGATTGCTGATCAATTAGCCTTATTTCCAATTNAAAAAACAAAATGTTTCTCGATCGGTGAAACTTTATTACTAACCCCCGCACGGAACTTCGAAAGTCATTTCTTTTTAATTTTGGAAAAGGTTGTATTATGGCATGGAGGAAAGAAAAGTCTTTTGATGATGCTCACTGTGAGTGAAAATGTCACCTGTTCGAAAAGTTCTTTGATGAAGTATAACTTGAACATATCCTTCATTTAGGATATGAAAAAAGCGGCATCAGTGGAGATTGCTTTGATCAAGCGCGAATAATTTGAAAGCTTTCTTGAGAATGTTTGTGTTTCTCATCAAAAAGCAGTATTGTGTTCTAAATTTACGCTGGTTCGCTGGAAGTAAGTGGATCCAATGGTAGTCAGACTTCATCCCATGAAATTAATCAAGTGTTCCATTGGCTAGATTGGAACAATGTGGGAGAATGGTACAAATATAATATGAATAGGACCGGGTAAATCTAGATTAAATAAAGCATGGGCTTAATCCTATTGGTTCCATTTGCCCAATTGGAATATTATGGGATACCATAGACCTGTACAATTTTATTTGGTTGGATAAATCAAGAGTAAAAAATCGACATAGGGGGATATTTGTCTTAGGGAGGTTTGAGTTATTGAGGTTTACCCATGACCTTCAAAAGTACGTTTTACTCAAGTACCACACGCACCTTTTTTCCCAGATTCCAGAAGTAGAAAAGGGGTGTGCGTTGTAAGCAGGTACAAATTTTTCAAGAAGTTCTAGGAAGTTATGTGTGCATTATACTTGATTATAATGGAGAAATTTGGAAAAAATGTAACAAGAAAACTTTTTTGTACTGAAAAAGTTGTAAATTGACCAGAATTTTGTTCAATTCATGTCTACAGTCGATTTTTTGTATCTATTTTCCAAATTTTGTGGTTTTAGATTCACTAAAAATTGGGGTGCGCATCTTACTCAGGGATACAATTTTAGCCAAATTTCCAACTGAAAAACCCCTTACTTGAGGGTGCATGGTACTCAAGTAAATACAGTAATCTTTCAAAGCTTGAGAATTTGAAAAATAAGAAAGTTACTTAAAACCTTCTGAAACTTTCTCGTTCTTCTGAAGCAATTAATTTACCAATAATCTCAATTAAATAGATCACGGTGCAATTTTGCAAAAAAATGGGTTTAATGCAATGTTTCGTAGCCTCCATTGGAACAGCATTCTGCAAATAATGTACAGTATAAGATTGCGGATAAATTTAGAACAAGTACAGGGCTGGGCGTTTGGGTTCTATAATCAGGTGCTGGAACAGATAAGCTCGACCTCAAATCCCAGTTTCTCTCCTTTTTCATTCCGAACTAACAGGCGATAAGGAAATGATTGCAGCTGGCTATTTCTGAGCTGCTGGCAGGTGTGTTTCAGGCTGGAGGGGAAAAACCAGTGCCTTTTTGGCCCGCCAAATGTTCCCCTGTCATGCGAATATTCCATTAAAAAAAATTACCGCTCTCGAGGGTTGCCGTGTTTTCCGGAAAACGTTACATCGTAAAAAGTGAATAAATTATTATTCGATGTAGTATCTGAGAACGTTCACTCCTTGACCGAATTCTGATAACCTTTTTTTAATGGGAAGAAATACAATATAGGCCTCAAATAAACTGACACGTTTTTTTTTCGGGAAAAACCGGCCTATGCACATGCTGATAAATTTCTTACATCTTCTAATAATGATAGAAATCATATTTGAAGAAGGTTTTCTGATTGAAACCTCTTTTTTTGGATTGCTGATCAATTAGCCTTATTTCCAATTGAATATTTTATCTCACTATGCTTGAATTGAAAAGATATTTAAGGAAGAAAAATTAAAAGTGCGTAATTTTTCAGCTTATCCGAAACAAATCATGTTTCAAATAAATAAAATTATGTTACACCAAATAACGTTCTAACGAATGTTAATCTTCATTGTACAACCACAATTTTATTTTAGTCTTCATTTAGGTAAACTCTTGTTGAAACAAATGCTTCTTCTCAGGTCCCGAAGTATTATTTGTAACGAGATTCTACTAAAGATGTTAATGAACCTCGAACAAACACAATTCTTGTGATCCTTTTTTTTTCTTCTAAAAAATGTTCTAGTGTCCCAGAAATTGTGAAGCAAAATCGAATGACCTGAAGGTCCACGAAGATGCTGAAGCCGTAGCAGTGCATGTCTAAATTTTTAGAAGGCTCTTTCTTTGTACTCCGTGGAATTTCGCCCTTTTTGTGTGAAAATAAACCGAAGGACACATTTTTTATATCGTGTGAGAAAAGCTTTTTTCGTGTTCCGAACTAATCCGCTTGAGGAAATAACCTACAAGATTCAACGCTAAACCTAATGCAAACCATGCCTAATTCGTGTCGTAATTGACGAAGTTTTATTTTGTCTTGTTCATATGGTGGAGTTCTAGATTGAATATAAAAATTAATCAACACTGCTGATATTGAATGTAAAGGTTGAGTACGAATATAAATATGCTTGTACTGAATCACGCGTTGCTTGCGAAACATCTGCGGTTTTAATCCTTCCATCTTCATTTTCTTACCTTTTAAAAGCACTTCCAAAATCTTATGATTTGAATTATAAAATAATTATTGCCTGGACGAGTTTCAATTATTGAGAAAACAGAACGACTTTATTACCCGTAACTCTTGCCGTTTATAGTTGTACTGTACAGTACGTGGAAAGTCTTTTGCAATTTTTCTCCCCTGCTGAGAAAGTTGTGTTTGGGGAGAACTTCATTGCGCCACTTCCGGAGATCACTGAATATTCATGGAAAATAAGTTGGATTTTAATTTTCTTTGGTTTTTGGGTCAAGGTGATTAAAAATTATTTTGTATTCGATGCACAGCTCTGCGGTGTGTCGAAATACAGTACTGTAAAGTACAGTGAGACCCCCACATGAGGAAACCGAAATAGGGACATTTACTTTTCAAGAAAAAATAATCATAAAATAGGCCTGATATAGGGACACTGACTTGACATGAGGACATTGAATGATAAAATTGCCAATACATTTTAGGAAAATTGAATTTTATT